AGCTACCCCATTCTTCTACGGCGAGTCCGGGAGCAAGTACGCTTGGGTGATGCCATTCGCACGACAGAACTGGCCAAGGAGACCAGAAGAAAACTTGCCACCACAATCGGAATGTAGACGAAGCACGTGTAGGGCGTGCTGGGCGCGGACGGCTACTAGCCACGGGAGGAGAACGTCGGCCTTTGGCTCCAAGGGAAACACCTTGGTGTAGTAATCCACAACGACCAGGAAGCAGCGCTCCCGGCGCTACCAATGGATGGGGGCAGAGCCCCGGACGTCCGTGTCCTTTTGAACCTAGTGGTCCTTACGCAGAACTTGTGGGTTGCCTCATGTACTGATGGTCTGTACTCGTCCGAACTGCGCTTACCCTCTCAGCGTCCTCGCTCGCTTTGTTGCGACTGGGAGACACCGTCCTGTGCACTGGACGGCTGCTACGGGGGTAGCAAAGTACCTGGCGACTACATCAGGCATGGAGCTTGTGCTTGGAGGGAGAGAGCCATTGCGACTTAGTGGGCACTGCGACTCGTCCTACGCCGACGACTTGGAGACCATCAGGTCGACCCAGGGGTACTGTTTCAGCTTGGGATCTGGAGCCGTGTCGTGGAGGTCTACCCGGTCGTCGTCTGTTGCTTCGTCCTGTGCTGAGGCCGAGATCCACGCCGGTGCCATAAATTCTCAAGAGTTCCACTTGCTGGCCTTTTTGCTCACTGACCTAGGCGAACGGCCTTCTTGCTCACCGACATTGTTCGCTCACAACAAGGCCATGATTCTCCTGTGTCGAGAGCCTCGACTGAAGAGCAGAGTGAAGCACATCCATCTGCGGTACTTCTTGTTGCGAGAGTTGCAGCGATGTGGTCAGACACGCTTAGTCTTTGTGGCCTCAGCGGCCAACAATGCGATATCTTCACAAATGCTCTCTCACCTGGTGACCACCACAGGTTTTGTTCACAGCTCGGCCTTGTTCAGACATGTCCTCGTTTGTTGTAGACTTGCCTCTTGCTTCTTGCTATGCGTGTTCTGCTGTTAATATATGTATATATATATATATGAACTCTTGAGCTTGTCTTTTCGCAGTTTTATGGTTAACCAATCTGCACCTTTTGCGGGGTTATGATAATCAGAAGTCTGTGATACAACACCCTCCCCCGAATTGTGGACCCGGGGATTTCCATAAAGGGGGGTCCACTATCCGGATGAATACGATAGAGGGGGTAAAAGTAGCAAACCATACTCTCAACAGTACAACCCAACCTAGTTTAAAGCTCCAGTATACATTTGAAAGGAGGGGTTCAAAATCCTTAGGAACTTGAAACTTTGTGGGAAAACCGTAAGGCACACTGCCTAAACCCTAAACCCGAATGACAAATGTATACTCGAGCTTTAACAATGTAGCCTACAAACGTGTAATTGCACATTGGCATAATATTTATTGATGTACTTGCCACTTGAGGTAGGTAGTGAGAGATGGTTCTTTTTCTTTTTCTTGTTTTGATCACCTGTCATCGAGAGCTGATTATGCACCCGGGTGATGTGACGCATGGCGCATGGCCGATTCTATGTTAGCACTTGAGCTGCTGCATCAAGGCATGTACTTTTGTCATGAGTAAGTAACTCCTTGCCGTAGGTGTACGAATGGTTACGCACTATCGGTACTTATATTAAGAAGAAAATGCAATGAGTCCAAAAGGTTGGTTTGATTGCAAGCCTTTCCGAAAAGGCGAATGGGGATGCACAAGATGGCACGCCAAATTTTCAACAATCAAGTACTATCACCAGGGCCCAAAGTTGGTTTTGGGCCACTCTTGCTAATCAAGGTATTAGGCCCCCAGTACCCTGATCCCTAGGGTAATTTTTTCCGTACACTGATGGCAGCAGGGTAAAACTTCTCATATACTGATTGTATCAGGGTAATAATGTTGATACCCTGATTTTAGTGAAAAAAATCCAAGACATACATTTCTCAATTACCAATCCATATACTTAAAGCTCAAGGCCCAAATTGCGGGCCGCGCAGGGCAAGATTAGTAATCTTGCACACTTCTCGTTTTCTGTGCTGGTGTGTGGCGAAAATTTGGTTACAATAGGTGCGATGCAATCTGATTGGTCGAAGCCAGACTCACTACCAAAGCATCGAGTTTTACTACTATGCAATTTGGGACTCGAGGTCCCCAAACCCACGTTTCCCCCTGAAGTTCGCTGACTCAGCGAAAAAACCAAGTGTTACGGGCGAAATCAGACATGTCACCTTCCCAACACTCTCCTCGACTCTACTCACCCATCAGCACTCAAACTTACGCAAGATTAGTAATCTTGCGCAATTTGGGCCTTGAGCTTTAAACAACCAGTGCATCATTCTCAATTTCTCAATTTACGGTTGCGTTGGCGCAATTGTGGCTCATTGGACCAATCGGACGAGCAGGCGTGCCTCCGACAAAATTTGACGGTGGTGCGCCTGTGGTAATTAAAGACAAGTGTGGCATTGGGCTTGTGGTGACTTCTGTCGTCACGTGGTGTGTGGCTCGATTCGCGATATAATGAGATTCGGTATCAGTGTAGTTGGCATCGCACCCTGATACAGCCATGGTAAAAAAAATCGTACCAGTGTAGTTGAAACCATAGCCTTTTCACGCCAGGGTAAAACTTTTCATAGGCTGATTTGGCAAGGGTAACTGGGAAAAAACGGCCTATGGTCAGGGCAAAAAGGGTAAAATACCCTGATAAAATAGGCCCTGACCATCACACCATAATCAGAAAAATATGGAACCAACATTTTTCAGAGGACAATACAAGTATGACCACCGTAGCCTTAGTAAGTACATGTCATCTCCGGGCATTGTGTATCGGATCATTCACATATGCGTCATTGCGTTTCATGCTGACAGCAATCCTCGATGAGGTGGCAATTGAGATCCGAAGTGCATGTGGAGCTGACGTCAAACACTGCACGTGGAGGAAAATGATTAGAATATCTCCAACTGGGAATTGCATTTCCGCAAGTCATATCGTCTCGTTGTGCCAAATTGGAGTCAGCTAAGCAGTGCGTGCCACCTGTAGGTTCTGACGGTGAAGATGAGCTTTTTGAGGATTTGCTAGGATTGCCCTTTGGTGGGAGGGGCAGGTTCGTTGAAGTTCAGAATGCTCAAATCTGGGAGTGTAGTTGTTTCACTTCTAGTCAGTAATTGCGATCGAGTACGATGGTGTGCAATTTTTACCGGTTTGTATGTTTCACCGCGCTCTACGGCATTCTACTCTCCACAAGCCTCATGAATTGCTAACGCAGCAACTGTGTGACCCGGCCTAGCATATTTTGTTGGGCCGTCATTGGGACAAAATCTGCAAATTCCGGCAGTTTGTGACGTGTTGCGCTCAACGGTTGCGTGTTCAGGTGGGTCTGTGTTTTCTGATCTGGTTTGGCCACTGCTGACGCTCACGGTGGTTATCCACACCCCAATTGTCAGATTCAGTGTGACAGAGGCTGCCAATGTGGCTGCCGGCCCTCGTGGATGTCGAACTCATGGTGCAGCGTTGGCGAGTTGCCACGCAGATCAGCCTCCCGCTTATCTGTCAGGTCCATGTGAGTTGAGAGGGTCTCCCAGACGAGTGGTGCTTCTCTTCCATGTGTCTTCCATCCATTCGCGGATGAGACCACGCTGACTAGGAGCGTTTCCACCTCCCAAACATCATTGACCAATCGGCTCCCTTGGCGGGTGTTCCAGCATCCGTCCAGCCAAAACCCCTCCAAGCACTCAACCACGTCATCTTCTCCCCCCTGACTGTTGGGGTTTCCTCCACAGAATCACAACCGTCTCCCAGACAATCACACCCCGCACCTGATTTTGCAAACCTGCAGCCTCGGCGATCGTCAATAACCACCTGCTTTCTGAAACCCTAAGCGGGTAGCCGTTCACCAAACCTCAAGGCGGCGGCGTTCCCAGGGGCCAACACCCCTGAAGTTCCCCCACCGAGCCTCTCGGTGGCTGCGTTCAGATCAGATCGAAGACCTCGTTCTGGAGATGAGTGAGCCCCGCCCAAACCCACGCATCACGCAGTGCACACACACCCCCTGAGCTACCATCCTCCCTTTCGGCTACTGTTCACTCATCCGCACCCTTCCACAACCCTCTGTAACATTCAGAAAACCTGCGCAATCCTCCGCACTGCATCCTCTCCTCACATAGCCTTCCCTGTTTCTGCCTGATCACTTCCACCCAAACCAGCAGCCCAACCAACCCTTGCTTCGCAGTCTCACTCAGCCTACATTTTACCAAACCCTTGCTCATTTTCGCCGTCATTTGTCGTCCTAGGTGTTGGGAAGCCGGGGTTGTTAGTGCTCTTTACAGCTCTATCCAGCTCGCCTTGCTCTATGCAGATCGCGGTGCTCGCTTGTGAAGATGTCTTTCCGGACTGTGCTGCTGTCCACCGGTGCCTTGGATCTCTACCTTCTGCTGTCGCTTTCGGCGTCCCGTTACCGCGCACTAGTTTCTGCAATCAGATAATCGCCAGTCAGGAGCGTCGGCGTCGTTTTAAAAGTAGTCTCCCCCGGCGTTGCGAGTTAAGGGAATTATCACTTCGAAGATCTGTCCAGGACCCCGAGTGTCGCTCTTATCTCAGACTGTACAAAGCGCGTTAATACTCCCCTTGTGAATAGGTTCTCTTCCACTGGCGCGTCACTTCCGTGTCCTCCATTTTGCCGCTTATTAGGCCTTATTAAGTTCCTCCATTTTGAAGCCATGCTCGAGCACATGCTCTCCACGGCAGCTCTCATGCCGTCTCAATCCGTCGCTGGTGCAGATCCGGGAACTTCCAGATGGAAGCGGTCCCGAAAACTTACCCCAAAGGCGCTTGCTCTTCACGCCAAGTCTATATCTCTTCACGCCAAGTCGCTTGGTATGAAGAATCTGGTTCCGCATGCGAGCCAAGGCTCGCTGTTCTCCAATTCATCCACTGTATACAGTAAAAAGATACTACGGGATTCGTCCGGGAGAGTGTCCGGCATCGCGATGGGTATCCGACAGTCCATGAGCGTGGGTCTGCGTCACCACCGTCAGGTCGGCTCCACGGTGGTTACCGCAGTCGAGGCCGTATCGGGAGAGGGAATCAGCGCGGAAGTGTCGAGACTCGAAACAGCCGTTCAATCTGGGAAAGGTCAGTTGAGTCGATTGGGTGTGGGGTTGGGAGGGGGAGTGGGAGTGAATACGGGAGTGGAGGACGCAGCTGATTTTGTCTACGCGGAGCTGGACGCAGCGAGAGCGCTCGCCACCATTGGAACAGTGTGCCTGTGCTCGGGAGACTCGGGGGGTTCTCGAGAATTCGAAGATTCCGACGGGTCCGTGTCCGTGGAAAGACAAGCGGCGAGCGAGACTGCGTTGAAGGAGACGTTTTCGAGCAGTTTAATCGGCGGGATTGAGCACGAGCAGTTGAACGCGAGGAAGACGGACGCGGAGAGCGTGTTTCAGAGCGTACCACCGGGAATTGTGTTTCCGGATCCTGGCTCTGTCGTGAGCGTTGGTGATGGTTTCGATTATGATGCTGGTGCTGGTGTCGGTGCTGTTGCCGGTGCTGGTGTGGTTGCTGGTGATGGTGATGGTGATGGTGCTGGTCGTTTCAGCTCGTTGCGTGGGAAGCGCGTGCGCGTTGCTGACGAGGGCGACAGGGTTTCCATGCGTGCAGTGCGGGACGCCACGCGGTGGCTCACCAAGAGGAAGAGGACGGCGAGCCGAGTCCGTCGCGCGCGCAACCTGCGGTCGAGGAACGACCTGGTGATTCGCCTCGTGCGGGACCTGTGCGATCGCAAGCTTGCGTCCGCGGCGGCTGCTGCTGCTGCTGCTGCTGTCGCCGCCTCTTCGGTGGAGGACCGCGGACGTGGTAGTTCGGCGCCTGCTGCTGGTGCTGGCTCTTACAGTCGTCGGCTTCGAGATACGTCGGCTATAGAACAAAAGGTGCGGTATTGTATTGATTCCTTCTCTTTTTTTTTCTCTCTGTCTCTCTTTTGTAACTGTCATCGTTCTGCGCTTGGAAAGCAATTCTGACACACCTTGCATTAACATTCACCAGTGCAATTGAACGCTTAATCGAATAAGGCTGCGTAACATTCAGTTGCGTCTCAACGGCATGAGCTGGGCCTTTCTATAAACGTATACATACAAAGATACTGTTTATAACATAAACATATGTATCTCAACCTTCTGTTAGCGCGTCTTCTGTCTCCTCGCCTAACTTGAGAGTCGTGGTTCTTTGGGCTTGTTTCAGGAGTTCTCCCTGGGCGCGATGCTCGTGGTGGCACCCGTGGTGAGCGAGCACTTCTGCCTCCCGGAGGCTGGGGCGTGGAAGCAGCTGCTGTTGCAGCAACAACAACAAGAGCAGCAGCAGCATCAGTATCAGTTTCAGCATCGTCATCATCAGCAGCAGTCGCTGCTGTTATCTGAGCAACACGCGCCGGGCAGCGGCGACAACGTCGTGAGCAACAACGTGCGCGTTTCCTCGTGGAGCGAGGGCCGCCGCTACGCGCAAGAAGCGGGAGAAGCTTCTACTCGTTACGCTGGTTTCCGTGGCTGGAGCGGCGCGAGCGGAAGAGGCGACGACGGCGCGAATGTGGCGACTCTTGAGGTGGGGGCAGGTGGTGATTATGGTTGTGCCGGTAGCGCTGGTGGAACGGTCGTCGTGCCTGTCGGCCCCATGCGCGTTGCTCCAACGAATCCTGCCGCCGCTGTTGCTGCTGCTGCTGGTGCTGCTGCTGCTGCCGCTGCTGCTACTGCTTATGACGATGATGCTGACGTGCCTCTTCATGCTGCTGCTACTGATGGTGATGCTGTCGGTACAATTGTCTGTTACGCGGACGCTCAAGCGCGGGCTCCGCTTTTTACCCAATTCGTCGATGAATCAACCGAAGCCGCTCGAGCCCTGCAACCCGGAGCGCCGGAATTTTCCGCGCCGGATTTGTCTGCGGCAGAAGTATCTGAAGGGCTCGGAGTGTGCGTGTCTCCAACTGTGGACGCACCTGCAACGACCGGAGCCTCTGCGGCGCTGCTGCGTGCCAAGACGCGTGAGGTGGAAGGAGGTGAGGAGAGCGAGAGGACGGAGGAGGAGCAAGGGCTGGGTGAGTTTGCCGCGGGAGGGGGAGATGGAGGGACGGGTGACCAGGGCGAGGTGGTTATGGCTGAGGAGGAGGCCTTTGGGAACGTCGGGACTGCTGGAAACGGTGGGGAGGATGAGGACGAGGATGATGACGAGGAGGAGAACAAGGAAATGGTTGAGAATCTGTTGCAGTTCAAGAGAAGCGCCTCGCGCGAGGCGCTGCCGGTGCTCGCAACTGCTGCCGCGCCGGCGGCGGCGGCGGCGGCGGCGTCGGGCGCGGCGGGGGCAGGGGCTTCGGTGGAGGGGAACGGAGTGGGGTACGGTGAGGCTGAGACTGAGTTTGGGAACAGCGAGGGTGAAGGGGTGTCGTCGCACGAAGACGCTGACATGCCTGATGCTGAGGCTGCGACTGAGGGATTCGCTGCGACTGCTGCGACTGAGGCTGCGACTGCTGCGACGAGAGGAGATCCGGGATTGCTCCCGCACGGGATCGCGCAAATCGCACGGGGAGTCGCGCAGCAGGTCGCGCGCGAGGTCGCGGTGGTTCAGACGCTGGCGGGGGGCCTGTGCGACGGTTTGGGCGACGAGCTGGGCGACGGGGCGACGCTTGAGGTGGCGGTGCAGGGTCTCCTTCCGGATAGCTGCGCGTTGAATCAAGTGGCTGTGGTGCCCGTGGTGTGCATTCACGACGGGCATGCGGACGAGGACGACTCAGAGGACGTCCGTATGACTGAAAATCGCTATCACACCGCTCTCAGCCTTGCTGCTCCCAGTCACGTCGCCGCCGCCACCGCCGCCGCCGTCGCTGCTGCTGCTGCAGCTTCTGTTGCTGCTGTGAATTGTAATGGTGGTGGTGGTGGTGGTGACGGTGGTGTAGGAGGAGGAGGAGGAGGTGGTGCTGCTGTTCCGCACTACGAAGTGTCTGGTGACGAAGAGGCGGCCGTTTGTAACCCGGTTACCACCATGCTGGAGGGTCCGTGCGACGGAGTGTCAGGGGGGGCGTCGGATGATGCGGGCGGCAACCCGTCCGAGGTCACGGAGAGCCAGGAAACGCCCCAACTCGAGGTACGCGCGTGTTCTCGCACACTCGCGTGGTTGCTTGTGGGCTTGCGAACTTGGGGATTTTTATTTTTCGACTTGCGGGCTTGCTTGTTTGTTCCGTCATCCGTAAACGTCGGTGTTATTCCCGTCGGCGTCTAGTTGACGTTAGCGTTAGCGTTACCGTTATCGTTGGCGTACTCGTTCTCCCGGCCGCGGCCATTGTTTCCTGTCTGCGAATGCCTTCTGGCTCCGAGCTCCAAATTTCCTTCCCTTTCGTTTCAACGCGGACTCGTCGTCTGTTCAAACGCACGCGCGCGCGCGTGCGCACTCGCTCCTCTGCTCGTCTCTTTCGCGTATGCATCATATATTTCTCCGCCCGTCCCCCTATCCCATCGTCCCTCTCCCCTCCCGCTCCCCCCGTTTTCCCCGCTCTCCTCGCGTGCGCGCACATGATCCAGGAGCATGAGCAGAGTCTCGAGTCTAAGCACGCTCACGGGTCGATCGAGGGTCCTCTCCTTGCCCCCGCAGAGCAGGTGCGCGCTTCTCTCCTTAGCGCCTCCCCGAGCTTGTCCGTCGTTTTATCACAAACACTCGGGTCCAATTTTCCATGTCGCTATCTTACTCGGGTATTGTATCTTGGTTTCCCCTTGTGCCGTTTGCCTTTGTTGTCTCCCTGGATTGGATTTTAACACGTGGTTTGCGCGCGCGCGCGCGTGGCTTGTGCAGGCGGCGGACGAATTGGCTCGTTCGGTGCAGGCGCAGGAAGAGGAGAACAAGCGGTTGCGAGAGGTGAGAGTGGGTTCGGATGCCTGGAGTGTGGTAGAGCTTGATGGCGTGACAGAAAAAAGGTATGAGAACATGATGGCATGGCGCGGTGGTTTTTTCGTATAACGGATGAAACGAACCGGCCAGAACTGGGGAGATTATCAAGTTGAGAGCGGATGCAGCTTGTTCGCGAACAGTCCGTCGTACAGCAGTGAAAAAAAAAAAAAAAAAAAAAAAAAAAAAACGTTGCCAAAATAGAAGCCAGTTTTCATGGCTTCAATACCACCGCATTGGTTCCTTGACGCGCGTTGCTGTTTGGAGCGTCCACACCTGCGTACACCCAAAGCGTTTCACTTCCGTGGCGTTTTTCGTCGTTCTCTTAATCGCATGGGCCAGGCGAGGCGAGTCATGAGAAGTGGCTCACTGTTCGCGTCCACACTCCCACAGTAGGTCTTGTGCATGTTGATTGACTGCTGTGTTCGCTTGTGCACTCTCCTCCCGTCCACGTCACTGAGCAGGCGTTGGCAGCAGCGCGTGCCACGTGGAAGGCTGTGCAGGACGAGAACAGGCACCTGCTGCAACAGGTATGTCTGCTTGTCCTGTAGGAACTATGGTTTTTTTGTGTCGCCCTGGTCTTTGGCTTTCCCTGGAGGAAGGGAACAGAAAATGAAAAAAATATCAGGAAAAAAAAAGGCACCAAATGGTGCTAAACCTGCGCCAGGCACCATCGTTTTTTTGTTTTTTAACCTACTCCTTTATCGCCCTCATTGTTCTCCCAACCAGATGACTCTCCATGGCCTTGAACTGCCCGCATGTGTGACTGCCAAGGCGCATCATCTCAACAAATCCCCTCCACCGCTGCAACAGCATCAACCACAGCAACTGCAGCAGGACGCTGCAGTGCTTTCACCCTTCTCTCCTCCGCCCACTTCCTCCTCCTCCTCCTCCGCAGCAGCTGCAGCAGCGGCGCCAGGAGTAGCGCGTTGCCCCCCCGCCCTCCCCCCGTTCCTCTCCCCGTTCGCCCCTCCCCCTCCCTGGGCATGCCATCCTGCCAGACTGCCCCTTCCGCCCTTCTTCCGCTCATCCGCGCTCCCCCTCCCCGCGCTCTTCCACAAGGGCCTCCCCGCAGGCCCCTGCGCCCCCGCCTGGTTCTCCCGCTCAGCCCCCCCCGCGCCACTTGCCTGGGTGAATATTTCTCCCCCGCCCGCGTCCTTTCCTCTTCAATCCACGGGTGCTTTCGCCCCTGTCGCCGCCCCTGCCACGACTGGCGTGACTGCTGCCACAGCTGCTGCGGCTCCAGGAGTGCAGAGCGCAGCGGGTGAAGGGCAGGGATGGGTGGGAGGTGTGGGAGTGCGTTTTCCTGTGTCTGCTGAATCTGGTGCTGTCGCAGCAGCTGCTGCTGCTGCTGCCGGTGATGGTTGTGTGGGGAGTGTTGTGGATAGTGATGTGGGTAGTGCGGTTGCACCGCGCACAGATGCTGGTACTGGGGAAGCTGATAACGAGAAGCAAGCCGCTTCCGCTGCTTCTGCTGGTGCTGCAGTTCCTGCAGTCACTGCAACGAATCAGACCCAGCTGCCACCAGCTGCTGCTGTTGTTCCCGAGGCTTCTTCTGGGGCCGCGCCCTCCTCTCCTGCTACTTCGTCAACCCCGGCTGCTGCTGCAGCAGCAGCATCTGCATCCGCTGCCGCTGCCGCTTCTGTCTCTGCATATGCGTTTTCTGCTGCTGCAGCTGTTAAGTCGGTGTCTACCCCCCTGACTTTCTCCTCATCCTCTGCTCCTTCACTTTCAACTAGTTCTCTTCGGCCACTTCCAATGATTCCCCCCTCCTCGCTCTTCCTCCCCCCAACTGCCTTTCACCACCACCACCGCCACCAGCAGCAGCAGCCGCTGTCACAGCAGCAGCAGCAACTGCCGTCGCCCTTCCCCTTCTACTTCCCGCCCTCATTCTTCTCCGTCCCCCCGCACGTGCACCCCTCCGCGCTACCCCGCCGCACCTCCCCCCCCACCGGCGCTGCCTCTGCTGCCGCCACTGCCACCGCCGGCACAAAAGTCAACCATGACGTGAGTAAGCAGCAGTCTCGCCGTGCTACCCTAAGGCCCTCCCCTCCTAGTAGCTTCTCTGCCGCTGGTGCTGCAGGGGGCAGCTCTGCTGGTGCAGCAGTTGCGCCTGTTGCATCTGCTGCTGGCGCATCCCCTATTGCAAGCGGTGCGGGTGCTGGGAAAGAGGGAGTTGGCAACAGCGGTTCAGGCGGCTCAGGCGGCTCAGGGGGTAATGCATTTGGAGGGGGTGGTTGTGCAAGTTGGGGGGTATCGTCAGGAGCAGCAGGAGGGGATGGTGGTGGTAGCATTGGTGGCGGTGCCAGTGGTGCTCATGGCGCCAGTGGTGCTAGTGGTACTGGTGGAGTTCCCCGGGTTGCTAAGAAGGCTCAGAGCAGGCTGAGGGCTCGAGCACTGCAGTCCGCAGCAGCAGCAGGGGCGCCAGTAGCCGTAGCACCAGCAGGAGGGGCATCAGCTGCTGCAACAGCACCGGCAGTTCTGGCCCCAAGGGGGGCAGTGGGTACTGCTGCTGCTTCTGCCGCCGCCGCTGCTGCTGCTTCTGCCGCCGCCGCTGCTGCTGCTGCTGCTGCTGCTGCTGCTTCAGGTTCTAGTGCTGCGTTTGCTACTGGTGCTGGTACGCCCAGGCTCTTCCCTCACTTCCGTACCGGTTCCACTCTCCCTGGGGCATCGACCATAGGGCTCATGCCGCTGCCTCCTGGCTTCCCTGTGCCTCCACCGTCTATCCTCGCCGCGGCTGCTCGCTCTCAGTTTCTGATCTCCAGAAGCCACATGCCCATTCCATCTTCTCACCCGGGGCATCCTCATCCTCAACATCATCATCAGCATCATCAGCAGCACCATCAGCAGCATCATGTGGCAACGCCGCCCTTCCATGCGGTACCAGATGCCGCTACTGCAGCAGCAGCAGCGGCAGCCGCAGCTGCTGCTTCTCGGAGCTGCAACTCGGCGTTCAGTCTCCCCATCCGCCCCATTTCACGCAAGTCGGGGGTGTCGCCTTGCCCTCCCCCTACTCCGCGTCCCTCACCCCCAGCCGGCCCCTCCTCTGGTGCGTCAGGAGCATTGCTAGCAGCAGCAGCCGGCGCTGCCGCTGCTGCCTCTTCCTCGGCTCCTGGCGCCACAGTTTGCAGCGTGGCCGCTGGCAAATTCGTCGATAATTCCGTACACGAGAGTAACAACAGTTTTTTGGCAGTTTCAGCTGGTGCTGCTGGTAGCAACAACAGGTCTTGGGAGAAGAGAGCATCCGGCTCTTTGTCCCCGACTGCAGCAGCAGGAGGGTTATCAACAGGAGCTGCCTCTACTGGTGAGGCCCCTGCAGGATCGCCCCCTTCATCCCCGGGTGCCATTGCTTCTTCAAGTCCTGGTGGGAAGAAGCGGGCACGGGACGAGGGGGGAGACGATGTGGGACGGGTTTTGCAGCCAGTACAGTCCCTTGTTCCCGGTTCCGGGGTGTTTGCAACTGAAGTCACAGCAGCAGCAACAGGAGGAGGAGCAGGAATAGTAACAGCAGCAGCAGGAGGAGCAGCATTAGCATCAAGTTCAGGAGGCAGCAGTCAAGTCACGAGCCCACGTCCCTCTCCTCCCCACACGCCTGGCGAGAGCGCCACTCGTGCCAAGATCAAGACGGAATCTGCTTTCACACACACCGCAGCATTCCCCGCGCCTCCCCCTGTCCGTATCCCCGCCCCCATGCCCATCCCTGGTGTGCGCGTGCAACCAGGTCCCATGCCTGAACCGCTGGTGGTGCTGCTTCCGGGGGGAGTTCGAATGCCGTGCCCCTGGCCTGCCACTCTCCCCCGCCCTCCTATGATGCCGGTTTCGTCAGCAGTGGGAGGATTGGGAGGGGTGCCAGGAGGATGTGTGATGGGGACAGTGGGTGTGGGCATGGGAAGTGCAGCTGCAGAGGCGAGGAAGAGGAGGAGGGAGGTGAAGAGGAGCAAGGGCATGATGGGTCAGGCAATGGTGGCAGGTGCTGCTGCTGGTGGCGGTGGTGCTGGTGGTGATGCTGTGGGGTCAGCAGCTCCTGCTGTGGCTGGTGCTGCTGCTGCTGCTGGTGTGTTTATTCAGGTACCAGGGGAGGTGATGAGGGCTCGTGTGCCAGCCACAGACGTCGCTTGCCGCCCTGCCCTGCTCTCTACTGCCCCGACTTGTTGACATTGATTGACGCCCTGCTGCTGCTGCTGCTGCTACTGGTGATGGCTCTAGTCAGTTTGCTTCCATTGATAGTGCGGTTCTGTGATTCACTTTTGTAATTTCAAGGCTTCCTGGTGCGTCTCTGCTGGATCAAGAGCTCCACGTCAATTGCTTTGGGCACCAGTTTCCAGTTCCTCCCACTCTCACCCACCCACCCGCGCACCTTGACTTCCCGCCATCACCCAATTTGACAAACCACCCGACCGCACCCACTCGCCCCCGCATTCACCCACCCGCTTTCACCTTCCCAATGCCTCACACTGCTGCAACCTTCAGCGTCTGTCGGTCAGCCAAATTGTCTGTGGCATTCTATCCTTACCAGCATTCGTCGCCTGTCGAGCTGTTACCATTTGCCCGCATCCAACACTCTTCCGAAGCTGGTTCTTTTCTTCTGTGCCTACCAAGTATCACCGGCTTCTGCTCAAATGTGTACATCCTGTGCATACTGTATGGTTGCACTGGTGCTGCTGCTGCTACTGCTGCTGCCACTGCCATTGCCAGCAATCACTCCTCGTCTGTACCTCGTCTGCTATGGCATGCATCTGCTCAAGGCTTTGACCTTGCATGGCTCAGCGCAGCAGCTTTGCATCCCCCCTCCCTGTCTTTCCCATTCATACTTACGTACCAGTTCACATGGCACATGCATCTGTGGCACACATACATGCACATCCACACATGTCATCCACACATACATGTCCACACAGTCCATATGGTCACTGGTTGCTTTGTTTTCATGCATGCCTTGACAGGCGTCCAGCCTACTATACATAGACATGCAGCCATGCATTCATTCATGCTGCACGTGTTCAAGCATGTACATGCCTTGCGATGTCAGTATGTGTGGTTAAGTGTGCTAGACTTGAATATCAACCTTGAATGTGACTGCTTCTTCTCTCGCTTTTGTTTACTTAGGGTTGGATCAGTCAGAGCAGTTTTGCTTTGTTTGTCATGTTTCTCCGTTTTATTCCTTTTTGACTGATTTCCTTCCATTCGATTTGACTGTTTGAATGCTAAACCCCATTCCGGTCAATGGAGCTACTGGTATGGAGGGCATCCAAATCGTTTTGTACTCTGGTGTTGTTGTGAAGGTTTGGATCTAAACACGTAGGCTCAGAAGCTTGGGGGTGATGAAAGTAAGATTTGTTTGTGTAACGTTTATTTGTTCAGAATGTATTTTGGTTGTTACAGTTGAGAATCAAACTCCTCGCATTTCTGGCGTCAGATCTTGGTTGCGTGGCGATCGCGGCGATGCGTCTCGTCGACATGGCAAGAATCTACAGTTCTTGTGTACACGTCACAGGAGCAGCCAATCCCTTCATAGATCCCTGCTGACGTCGCCATGGCCTCTGGGAAAGGAAGTTCCAGACATTGGTGGGGCGACGCCACGATGGCTCCCTCACGCAAAATGGTCCGCGGCCAGATGTGTGATGAACGGACTTCCCCCTCCCCACACTTCCTCCGCTTGCTCCAATAACCTCCGCAACCATACGGGTTTCACACTTCCTCATTCCTGGGCATCGCCAATTCATCTAACGGCTGTTATTAACTTGACAAAGCCTTCCCTCCAGTCGCTTGCCAGCATGGCTTGCCTGGCTTCTCCCAACCGGAATAGCTCAAGCGCCGGAGATTTTGGAATTCTTCTTCGCTCCCCGCACCCTCCTGCCCCACATTCTCCTTCGCCAACTCCCCTCCCCTCTGTCCTCTTCCGCGTTCTCCCCTCTCCCAGTCCCCCTCCCCCTATTCTCCTTCCCCGTTCCGCTGATCCCCAGTTACCAGATTCTCGGATTCCGCGTGCTGCAATGGCATGGGATGTGATGAATTCTTCCAAGAAGGGTGGGCGTTGAGCGAGCTACTTCTACACCCATCAGCTTTGAGCACCAGGCATTTCTGCTCTTCTGCATCGGCCTTCCAGCCGATCCACTCTTCGAACCTACTGTCAGGTTGTCAATCTCCCCTTCAGCCACTATGGCAACTATCTCCGCCGTCAAGGCTCGCCAGATCATCGACAGCCGTGGCAACCCCACTGTCGAGGTCAGTCGCACGTAGATCTAGATGCCGTTTGCCAGCTGTTGACCCATCGATTTTTTTCTTCGTGTTTTGAAGTGTCTCTAGCACCACTCGGTTTTTTTTATGTATTAGTTTATCTTTCTAACAGTCTGTTCATTGTTACGTTCGGACACGTGTTGCAGGCTGATGTCCATCTCTCTGATGGATCCTATTACCGTGCTGCGGTTCCTAGCGGTGCCTCTACCGGTAAGTTATCTGATAGGTTCCTTGCTTCCTTCTATTCCCGTCTATCCATTCAAAAAGCTTCTCAGTTGCGATCCGTTGCTGACCTTCCGAGTTTCTTCAAATGTTTCAGGTATCTATGAGGCCCTCGAGTTGAGGGACGGAGGCAAGGAGTACATGGGCAAGGGTGTGCTCAAGGTGCTTGATTCATCACCCGAACCATCATCCTTCCCACATCCTTTCCCACTACCACATCTTTCGCTTCCGTCATCTATATCTCTCCCCATTCTGGAATCACGTCGTCTTTCACTTGCTGCTGTCATGGCCGCATTTTAGCGTGACATTCTCTATTCTAATTGTCTTTTTCTTCTTTTTGTTCTGCAGGCTGTGAGCAACGTGAACACCATCATCGGCCCTGCTCTTGTGGGCAAGGACCCCACCCAGCAGATCGCCATCGACAAGTACATGGTAGAGGAGCTCGACGGCACCCAGAACGAGTGGGGCTGGTGCAAGGGCAAGGTGCGTCTTGGGATTCACACGCGCTTCAATGGATTATTCTTCCTGTCAACTCATAGCGTCGATTGAGTCTGGCATTCATCAAACATGACTGGCGCTCTTCCAACTACCTGACAAAGTCCTGCTTTTGTGTTGCTTGGTGTGCAGCTCGGTGCCAACGCCATTCTTGCTGTGTCCCTCGCCGTCTGCAAGGCGGGCGCTGGCGTCCTGAAGATCCCGCTGTACCAGGTATTCTAGCTATACTCTTCGCTTAACGCAGTGAATGTACCCGCTTTCGTTGGTTCGAACTACTCGTTTCGCCAGATTAAAGCTAGTTATTTAATCAGCCTCCATTGTGATACTGTCACTCTTCCTATGTTTCCTCGGACAGCACATCGCCAACGTCGCCGGCAACAAGAAGCTCGTGCTGCCCGTGCCGTCCTTTAACGTCATCAACGGTGGCTCCCACGCTGGCAACAAGCTGGCGATGCAGGAGTTCATGATCCTCCCCGTGGGAGCCAGCTCCTTCAGCGAGGCCATGCAGATGGGGTGCGAGGTGTACCACAACCTCAAGTCCGTCATCAAGAAGCAGTACGGCCAGGACGCCACCAATGTCGGCGATGAGGGTGGCTTCGCCCCTGCCATTCAGGTATTTTTTCCATGCTTGGTCGGCTAATTTCTATCTCAGTTGAAGTGTTGCATCGGATCTGCATAACTCTCTTTCGACTCGCTTCGCTCGTTCATGATAATGATCTTCGGAGGGATATTTGTTCTTATCGATATTGTGTGCGGCAGGACAACAGGGAGGGTCTTGAGCTTCTCAAGACCGCCATTGAGAAGGCCGGCTACACTGGCAAGGTAACGAACGGGCTGGGATGGGGTTTCGGAATAGAGTTACTTCACAAGCCTTGCTTGGTTCCCATTTTACGCATCGACAGATACGGGAAAATACGGTCGAATGAACAAGATGCGAAACCTAATAACAGATTTACGTACACAGCTGGTCCCAAGAGAAACGGAATCCTCAAATCTGCTTCTCATCTTTCGGTCTTCTAAATGCTGTCTTCGCAGGTTAAGATTGGCATGGACGTGGCTGCCTCCGAGTTCTGGAAGGCCGACGACAAGACGTACGACCTGGACTTCAAGACTGAGAACAACGACGGCAGCAAGAAGCTGTCTGGACCCGCACTGACCGCTCTGTACGAGGAGTTCTGCCGCGACTACCCCATGGTGTCCATTGAGGACCCCTTCGACCAGGATGACTTCGAGGCCTACCCCGTTCTCACCGCCAACATTGGCAAGGACGTGCAGATCGTCGGCGACGACCTGCTTGTCACCAACCCCAAGGTAACATGCGAACCAGGGATGCCTTACCAGCAATGCTGCTTTTTGTCTTCGTGAATCCCTCGCATTTTGGCGCGTCTTGGTCATTATTGCTGCTGTACGGTTTCGGCTTTTTTTTTAACTCCCATCTCTCTCCTTTTCCTGTGTGCAGCGTGTGCAAAAGTGCATTGACATCAAGGCCTGCAACGCCCTGCTGCTTAAGGTGAATCAGATCGGAACCGTCGCGGAGAGCATTGAGGCTGTGCGCATGTCCAAGAAGGCGGGCTGGGGCGTCATGGCCAGCCACCGCAGTGGCGAGACTGAGGACACCTTCATTGCTGATCTCGCTGTCGGCCTTGCCACTGTAAGTTCGATTCCGCATTTAAGTGGTTGCAACGCAGTACGGAGTTCCATGTGTGCTTTACTCATTCTCTTCCTACCCTCTTCCCATATACAGGGCCAGATCAAGACTGGTGCTCCTTGCCGCTCTGAGCGCCTTGCCAAGTACAACCAGGTTAGTAATCCTCCATGCATCCCTCTTTCTGAAAGAATGGTCCTTCATGAATTTGTCTGTTTATTGCCTTTTTACTTACTGAGTCCTTTATTCGTTCCCTCGTCTTTTGGCAGCTGCTGCGCATTGAGGAGGAGCTCGGTGCCAATGCTGTGTACGCTGGAGAGAGCTTCCGCACCCCCTGCGAGCCCTATTAGATGCGCGTTACATAATGATAGCGACTTATACGCATGTGGAAGCATTGCTATAGTTTAGCTATGGAATGTTGTACCATGCAAATAGTAGCAAATACATGGGCCATGTTGCTAAGCAGTAGGCGAGAAAAAACAGGACCAGCCATAAGCTCCCCTCCCAGTGGTATTGAGTAAAAGAAACGTGTGTCGCTCTGTTTTACTATGGGAAAGTACATCCCAGCTCCTATGTTTCAGATTTCTCTCATATTTACCCCCAAGTTTACTCAAAAAGTGCCAATTTCGGGAATTTGGCTCACGCGAGGCCCAAAGTATGTTCAAAACTGGTCCTGCGGGGCAAAGATTTTGACACGTGTCCTCTTTTCATACCATCTGACGCACTTCCGCTCTGTTGAAACCGTTTCTGGCCTTTTCTGCCCACGCACTGCTTCTTCTGGTGGGCTCGAGATTGAGACCTGGCACTGCTGTAGATTCGCCTTGCTGGCCAGAATACTATGCTGGAACTGTTCTCGAGCCCCCCTACACCCTGAAAACAAGTATAAACGCGCCCCAGCCAACCCCAGGCAGTCAACCCCGCCTGTCTCACCCTTCCCTCTCACTCACGATCGGCAATGGCTTAGCTTCTACGATCATGAGTGAGATCCAAAGTTAGGGTTTCCCATTACGACATCTACCCAAGCTGATTAGATGCATCTATATCTATTCGATCACCAGTGTTGCGATGGATAGGAATCTAAGCACGGCAGCGGTGCAGACGAAGATCGCCATTGGGGCCGCGATTCTCCGCATCTTCAACGTTTTCAAATCATAAACTGGCAAAATCTGTGAGTTGCATGCAAGCATTCATTTGCACCCATTAGCTCCGTCGGCCCAGCGCACAGTTGCCAGGGTCCGTGGTTCTAACGACCGTGACGCCATAGGAGCGAGAGACTTAGCGTCAGCAATTGTAATGCCAATGCCCGTCGCGCGTGCGACATTGGCGCCAGTGCCCTTGGAGCTGATGCGCCAGGCGCCAATGCGCCTGGCGCCGATGCGCATGGCGCTAACGCGCTTGGCGCCGATGCAATTGGCGCAGATGCGCCTGGCGCCGATGCGCCTGGCGCCAATGCGCTTGGCGCTAATGCGCCTGGCTCCAATGCGCTTGGCGTCAATGCGCCTAGCGCTAATGCGCCTGGCGCCAATGCGCTTGGCGCCAATGCGCTTGGCGCTAATGCGCTTGGCGCTAATGCGCCTGGCGCCAATGCGCTTGGCGCCAATTCCCTTGGCGCTAATGCGCCTGGGAACAATGCCCTTGGCGCTAATGCGCCTGGCGCCAATTCCCTTGGCGCTAATGCGCCTGACACCAATGCTCTTGGCGCTAATGCGCCTGACGCCAATGATCTTGGCGCTAATGCGCTGGCGCCTCGCTATTGGCCAGCATGACCATCTATACGACTCGACTCTGGCCTGCATCCCTTACCACTCATTTCACTCACAACTTACCCTGCCCTGCCTGCAATCTTTCCCCACCTATCCGTCATCTGGTTATTGCCCAGGTACTGCACATCAATGCCACAAGTCCTGCACATCAACAGTCTCTCCAAACCGTGCTGTCATGTCGCTAATCAGCTGTGGCTCTAAACCTTGCACCCGAAATGTTGCAAGGGGCTGGTGTAAAGTAATGACACCTTTGTACTACGTGAAGTGCAGTAGCTATATGTCTATTTGCTTGAGATTTTATTGCGATTTGACTGCCACTCATCATCCTTACCTCAGCTAATTCACTCTCAAACGGCACCAGTTTTCCAACTCTGTGCTTACACACGCTCCCTTCTCATGCTGCTCTCGTTTGGCTGCTTTTACGACCCCCCACCCACCATTGTCCTTGCTACCTCCGTTCCACTAGCTAACTCTCTCTTCCCTCTCATATTGCGTCCCACTCTCCATCTCATTTGTCCCCGTTGAGTGATCCTCAGCAGTGGACTGTTTGCGCAGGGGCTTACTGAAACTGATTTTTCTGTGGGAGCGGTCTTCCAATCTGTTCATGAAGCTCGGGAAGCTATCAAAAGGTATGCGCGCCAGAAGAAACGGGGCATATATTGGGAGCACAATGACGCAGAGCGCCTTGATGCGCGCTGTAAGTCTATGGAAGGACGACCATGGCCAGAGAAAGGAGCCGAGCATCCCATTGACGGATGTCCGTTTCGCATATTTGCAAGGGGTCCCCGTGGTTGCCGATTTCAAGTCAGGGAGGCCTGCCTGCAGCATCTCACAAGGTGCACCGTTAACCCAGGAAGGGTGCGAAGAACGGAGGTTAAAGAGATTGCTCGAGCCGTCATGCCGTACGGGGATCTAAGGCCACACAGGCTTCGAAATCTCGTGCGAGAGCACCTTGGAACGAGTTGCTCATACAACACATCCAACACATCAATTAATGAGGTCAATGCAGAGGATGCCCTTGCTGGAGACAAGGGGTTTCAGTACATGCGAAGTATACTACAAGTTTTCAAGAGTGAGAATCCGACGAGTGTTGTGTCCATGAGGAGGAAAGGCAATATGTTTTGGAGGGCGGGAATGACATTTCCAGGTGCAAGAACAGCAGCCCTAAACTGTTTTCCGATTGTTTTTGTCGACGGTTGTCACAACAAGGGAAGATGGGGGGGATGCACACTCAATGCTGTTCTTGTAGATTGTGAACACAAGGTGGTGAGAATGGGGAGCGCCTGGGTTGAGGGTGAGAATGGGGATGCATGTGGTTACTTTTTGCAGCTACTGCTCGAAGCTGTCCCAGAACTGAATTCTCCTAACTTTACACTCATGCATGACCGTGGGAAGGCATGGAAGGCCGCCAGGTTACTCATGATGCCTCTCATCCGTGAGTCGTTCTGCATCACTCATATCACCCGGAATTTCAACTCGAAGTTTGGCTCGACCGTGGATGGAAAGATTGAGCTGGCTGCGTTTGCCTTTTCACCGGACGTTTACAAGGGGATGATGGACAAGGTAGAGGAAGAATGTCCGGGGGGGAAGGAGTATTTAGAAAAGGAGGGGTTATCTCAAAAGTGGGCTGCATCACGCTACGGGGCACCACGCTATGAATGTTACTCCTCTAATCCCGTAGAGTCACACCATGCGACAATGCGTAATGTAAGGAGACAATCCAGCTCAGGTTCTTCTATCTTTTATCCAGAAAGAAGCCATGGCATTGTGTGAGATGGGGAAGACGTATGGACAATTGAATGATGCCGAGTTTCCCGCAAAAAACGCTGCCATCATTACGGAAAACCGAGAGAAGGGGACGTCGTACAGGGCAGAGCAAACAGGGCCCTTCGACCCATCGAACGGTCACCGCATGTCGTACAAGGTTATGCGGCGAAGCGGGAACGAGCAAAGGCGGGTGCGCATGGATCTCCAGAACCCCAAGAAATCAGTGTGTTCTTGCAACTACACACGGTAAGTGCATTCAACTACAAAACCCTTGCACATCTTCACCACTTATTGTAAGTGTTGGTTTGTACTCATACACATCTAACTACATTATTCTCGTAATCTCCTCGCCCTGTTCCCCATCTTGCAGCGAGTACGGGTTGCCGTGTGTCCACATTTTTGCGGCTTTTAGTCTCCATGGTACCGGTTCTGGTGCCATGGAGGTTGTGGATCGGATTTACACCCCTGCTGCTCTACACCAAGTTTACAGCAACGCATTCGAAAGTCTGGACCCAACGGGTTTCATTCCGGATGGTGAAACTATGCCACCATCATACCCAAAGAAGCCTGGGAGGCCATGTGAAAGAAGGCTGAGGTCCCATGGTGAGGTCGATGGGAGGAAGCTGCGGAACTGTGGAAAGTGTGGGGAGAAAGGACATAATCGGCTGACTTGTGATTTGCGGGCACAACGCAACGCCATTTGGGAGGCAATGAGATTGCCGGCGGGCCATCTCAATGTGCAAACAGCCACCCAAGCTGAAGCATCTGTGAGTCTTTCTGCGTGCAGCGCGTGCGGTAATATGCATCGTACGGGAGTCTATTGCGCACCCCTGAGGCAACAACAAGAGCAAAATGGACAGGACCAGAGAGAGACTGATGGAGAGAGCAACACATTTTGGGGTGGTGAGGAGGATACTGAGGATGAGGATGGGCTTGAGGGGGAGAACGTTGAGGGTGTCGAGCAGAATGCTTCATTGGAGAATGATGTCGACAACATCTCAAATCAGCCAATGGTGGAGTTGTTTGAAAGATCCTATCCTCACATCCATCATAGTGGTGTCGATGTCAATGAGGCGAGAGCAGGGACATCTGGTGAAAGGAGGATGGAGAGTGGAACCGAGGAGGTACATTCGGTACCTGCAGAAGGAGCCCAAACGGATGGTGAGCCCAGGCCTGCAGCAGCGGATGCAAGTGAAAGAGGAGGGAGAGGAGGAAGGGGAGGAAGTGGGGGAAGGGGAGGAAGGGGTGAAACGGGAGGAAGGGGAGGAATGGGAGGAATGGGAGGAAGGGGAGGAAGGGGAGGAAGGGGAGGAAGGGGAGGAAGGGGAGGAAGGGGAGGCAGAGGAAGAAGTGGGGATACCACTACATGCGACACAGATGGCTTCACTGGACAAGGTGGGGTGGTAGGTGGTCCCGAGGAGCAAGGTGCTGATCCTGCTCAAGGAGGGATGGGGGCTGATCCTGCTCAGGGAGGGATGGGGGCTGATCCGCATAGGCCAGAGGCGCCGCGAGCGTGGCAAAGCGGAGGGAGGGGTGGAAGGGGAGGAGGAGGAGGAAGGGGAGGGATGAGTGCACCAAGGCAGAGTGCTGGTAGTACACAAACAATTGCCGGAGTACAGCCGCGGAGTGTGGAGAGAGTGATTGGGGAACGACGGCGGTGGCTCTCACGGATGCGACAGCAATGCCAGGTGGCGTAGCAGGTAGAGGAGGGTGATGCAGTAGAGGAGCAACGAAACCACGGGCAGGAAGTGCCACCGGGGGAAGCGCAGCCCGACCATCCACCTGTTACAGTGGTGGACGGACGCACGAGCAACGCTGATGGCGGGGTCCACCAGGATGAGTTTTTGCAACGAAAAGAGCAGCAGCGGCAAAGTCGACACCTACGCATTCACCAAAGGAAGCAGCAGCGCTTGAAACGGAGACATGAGCAGATGGAACGGCGCCCACAGGTAGAAGAGACTCGACAACGACGTCGTGCTGGACAAGCTTAACCCCATTTAGACAAGGGTCCTCAGCAGGTAAGAATGAGACGGTTCTCCTCCTTTTCCGCATTGATACACTAATTTCCATTGTGCTTCCCCTCGTTTCCCCCCCTGCTTCCATTCATTTCACCCACCGCTTCAGATATTTTCCCATGGTTGCTTCCCCTCATACCCATCCCCTGCTTCCTCTCATCTCCCAGCTGTCATCCCTTGAGTTCACCCTCTGCTTCCCTCTATTTCCCATCATCCATATCTCCTCTACCTATCTCTCCTAATCCATCTATCCCTTTGTCCTATCTCCTCCTTTTCCACTCTCTCATCGTCCCTGTCTCCCCCATTCCCCCTCTCCATACTCCTTCTATACACGCCTCCATCCTCTCCGCCCTCTTCCTACATCCTTTCCTTCTCCCAAGTCTTCCTATGTTCCCCATTTCCTCTTCCTCCTCTTATCTCCCACATTCCCTCTCCCCTCCTCTTCCTTTCCCTCTCCCCCTTTTCCTATCTCCTCCTTTCCCTCTCCCCCTTTTACCTATCTCCTCCTTTCCCTCTCCCCCTTTTCCTGTCTCCTCCTTTCCCTCTCCCCCTTTTCCCATCTCCTCCTTTCCCTCTACCCCTTTCCCTAGCTCCTCGTATCCCTCTCCCCCTTCTTACTGTCTCCTCCTTTCCCTCACTGCCTTCTTCAGCATCTCCTTTCCCTATTCCCCTTCTTCCCAGCTCCTCAAAACCCTCTCCCCTTCTTCATATCCCCTCCTGTCACTCTACCCCTTCTTCCTATCTCCTGCTTTCCCTCTCCCCTTTCTTCCTATCTTCTCCTTGCTCTCCCCCTTCTTCCTATCTCTGCTGTCAAGTTGGGTCATTACAGCCTGCGCTTGCACCATAACGTATCTCTCACGCCCTGTTCGCCCTCCCTCGCTTTTCTCCCTCTCCATTCCTGTTTCAGTGAGTACACGGAAGCGTTTTCTTGAATCATCTTCTCCTCATTCTATCTTCTCTTGACATGCCTCCTGTGTAATTCTCCTTGACCTTTCCAATAATCAAGAGTAGAGTACAATTCACAAGCAGCATTGTACCATTAAGGTGGTTGCCTCTGCCAATCTGCGATAAAATAATCAAACAGTCGGGGATAATAAGGAGATCTTGTCAGCTTATCCTCAGCTTCCAAACATATTGATGAAACTATATGTTTTATAACAGATTATATGCACAAGCCAGTGCAACGCAACAAACATACGGTATCATTAGTTGCACGACGCAGAATTAATGGTGGCAGAGGTGTTCAGTTGTTTGGATCTATAACTCAAGCAGTGGTTCAGCAGTACCCTATATTCTAAAAAATATATACCGTAGAATTAGTCTCTATAACTAGGCAATGTTTGGGACTGCATCTTCAGTTTACAAGATCATACGGTGTTATAGCCCACAATGCCGTTTTCCAGATCAGTGACTGCTTAGAATTATGTCCTCTCCAACATACAGTTCCCTTCTCGTCGTCTCACCACCTTTTCCTCCATATCTTCAGTTGAAAAACAAAGATACCACTATTCCGTATGTGTGTGTATACAAAAAAGAATGACACACATATCAGTAACAGGAGTTGCATGACCCAGATTTGTTGGTTGCAGACGTGTACAGTTGATTGGGTATATAACACAAGCCTTGGTTGAGTTGATACCAAGAAACAGATTCTCTAACTAGTCAGTGTTTGGCCTACGTGTAAAACAGAGATCCATCTGAATAAATTAGATAACATTCTTTGTGTTCGAAAGAGGAATGGAAATCAAACCCTAGACAAAGGATGTTCTCTTTTAAAGCGACGGGCAACTTTTGGCAGTGTTGGGTTCAGAAGTTTTTTTTTTTGAACCAGGCTTGCCAGCGCGAAAGTGCTGGCTGGCGAAAACCGGGATTTCGTGCGGACACTTTCCATCCGCAGTAACAGTTCGCCAGGGTTCTGGGTTTTGGGTGGCAAATGTGCACCGTCGCTTTAAGCTGCATTGAATAACGAACGCCACAGCTTTGCATGTTAAATGAGAATGAACAGAAAAGCAATGGATGTTCCTAGGGTTTTGATTACACAGTACAATATCACATTACGGTGTATATTTAGCCATATGCTTGCAGAGAATGATCTTGTGGCTGATGCATGGTAATTCATCATTCTGTAGGTAAACAAATATAGTGATCGGCAGAGACAGGACGGGAGGTTAGCATTTGAGGTGAGCTTTGGGAGCGGCGCTGCTGGGAGAAGGCTCGGATGGTTGGCAGGCCTTGAGAGGCGGAGAGGAGAAGGAACGATAGAATTTGAGGTGAGCTTGGGGAGCGGCGCTGCTGGGAGAAGGCTCGGATGGTTGGCAGGCCTTGAGAGGCGGAGAGGAGAAGGAACGATAGAATTTGAGGTGAGCTTGGGGAGCGGCGCTGCTGGGAGAAGGCTCGGATGGTTGGCAGGCCTTGAGAGGCGGAGAGGAGAAGGAACGATAGAATTTGAGGTAAGCTTGGGAAGCGGCGCTGCTGGGAGAAGGCTCGGATGGTTGGCAGGCCTTGAGAGGCGGAGAGGAGAAGGAACGATAGAATTTGAGGTGAGCTTGGGAAGCGGCGCTGCTGGGAGAAGGCTCATATGGTTGGCAGGCCTTGAGAGGCGGAGAGGAGAAGGAACGATAGAATCTGAGGTGAGCTTGGGAAGCGGCGCTGCTGGGAGAAGGCTCGGATGGTTGGCAGGCCTTGAGAGGCGGAGAGGAGAAGGAATGATAGAATTTGAGGTGAGCTTGGGGAGCGGCGCTGCTGGGAGAAGGCTCGGATGGTTGGCAGGCATTGAGAGGCGGAGAGGAGAAGGAACGATAGAATTTGAGGTGAGCTTGGGAAGCGGCGCTGCTGGGAGAAGGCTCGGATGGTTGGCAGGCCTTGAGAGGCGGAGAGGAGAAGGAATGATAGAATTTGAGGTGAGCTTGGGAAAGGGAGGTGAGGGCAGCATGGAGATGAGCGTCCACGGCACAGCAATGCACGCCGATACCACCGCCGCCATGCACAGGCCGAAGGGCTGCAGGCAAGTGGAGGGTGGGAAGGATAGCACGGGTTAAGTGGGAGTGGGATGGAGGATGGAGGATGGAGATGGGAGAGTGGGTGACTGGGAGTATGGTGGGTGCAACTATGTGCATTCACATGGTATCCAGCTGCCATGAAACCCCTAACTCGTTTTGGACCCTCCTCAATCTTCCCTCCCTCCATCACTTCCCCCCACCCCTCTCTCGACCCTTCAACTCACATTCAGGAGATCCAGGAGCAGCTGTGGAAGCACAGCATCGGGGAGGGTTTAGGCAAGGGAGGGGAGGGGATGGAGAGGGGAGGTGATGGGGGAGCGTGCGTGAGAGAGAAAGGGCACGTGAGGGAGGACTTTCCTCACCAGCTGACGAGGGTGTTTGCGACGTGTGCGGCGAAGGGCAGCAGAGGCAGCACGCGTATCTTTCTGGCGTAGCCCCAAACACCGACAGGGGGATATTTCACCCTTCTGCCATCTTTTCACGTCCAGCAGGCCTGCAGGTACACACAGCGATTGAGGATCGCGCGCGGGACGAGAGAGGAGGGAGCACAACATGGGATGGGAGCACACGCACGGACAGGGGGAGTGGAAACAGTGGTCGTCCAGCAGGCCTGCAGGTACACGGGTTAGCGTGGGATGAGACAGCAGGCCCTAAACCCATGCATGGAAGCACACACGATTGCGTGGGGCGGGTCACGGACAGTTGGAGGGTTAGGGATGAATGATTGAAGCCATGGTTGCCTGCCTACCTTGCTCGTCACCTTCTGTGGAACCACTCGCTTCATCCTCCTCCTGCACCATCTTCTCTTTTCTGAAGAAGGACTAACTCCTTGCTGCAAATGGTCCTTTTCCCGACTTGCGCACAAGCCCTTGGAACCCGGCAACACACCCCTTACCCTTCCCGCTTCCTCCCGATGACAATTCTTTGAACCCACTCAAAAGCCCCCCCATGTAGGACACACTCCCCTTCCTGGCTCCAGGCGCATTAGCGCGACGCGCATTGGCGCCAAGCGCAGTGGCGCCAGGCGCAGTGGCGCCAGGCGCATTGGCGCCAGGGACGCCAGGCGCATTGGCGCCAGGCGCATTGACGCCTGGCGCATTGACGCCAGGCGCATTGGCGTCAGGCGCATTGGCGCCAGGCGCATTGGCGCCAGGCGCAGTGGCGCCAGGCGCATTGGCGCCAGGCGCATTGACGCCAGGCGCATTGACGCCAGGCGCATTGGCGCCAGGCGCATTGGCGCCAAGCGCAGTGGCGCCAAGCGCATTGGCGCCAGGCGCATTGTTGCAAAGCGCAGTGGCGCCAGGCGCATTGGCGCCAAGCGTATTGGCGCATTGGCGCCAAGCGCATTGGCGCATTGGCGCCAAGCGCAGTGACGCCAGGCGCATTGGCGCCAGGCGCATTGGCGCCAGGCGCATTGGCGCCAGGCGCATTGGCGCCAGGCGCATTGGCGCCAAGCGCAGTGGCGCCACACGCTTTGACGCCAGGCGCATTGGCGCCAGGCGCATTGGCGCCAAGCGCATTGGCGCCGGCGTATTAGCGCCAAGGGCATTGGCGCCAAGGTCGCTGGCGCGACGGGCATTGGCGCTACAGGTTTTGACCCTAAGTCTCTCGCACCTATGGCGTCACGGCCGTTAGAGCCACGGACCCTGGCAACATGTGCGATGGGCCAACGGCGCTAATGGATGCAAATGAATGGTTGCATGCAGCTCACAGATTTTGCCAGTTTATGATTTGAAGACGTTGAACATGCGGAGGATCGCAGCCCCATTGTCGATCCGCCACCGCACCGCTGCGTGCATAGATTCCTATCCAAGTGATGATTTAGACACAGAAGCTAAGGCATTGCCGATCGTGAGTGAGAGGCAAGGGTGAGACAGGCGGGTTGATTGCCTGGGGTTGGCTGGGGCGCGTTTATACTTGTTTTCAGGGTGTAGGGGGGCTCGAGAACAGTTCCAGCATAGTATTCTGGCAAAGCAAGGCGAATCTACAGCAGTGCCAGGTCTCAATCTCGAGCCCACCAGAAGAAGCAGTGGGTGGGCAGAAAAGGCCAGAAACGGTTTCTTCAGAGCGGAAGTGCGTCAGATAGTACACCTAGTCCGCGGTATTTTAACCACGTGAACGTTTTTGTTTAAAACATCCTGTGTGCATTTTGTCCAATGGGATGGGCACCCAGAGACTTCGGGGCTATTAGAATACAACCGGGACACTTTTGTTTTGGAAAACCCACACTTAGTTCTCCGAGATAGGGGGCGCTTTGGCATCATCAGAGTTGCAACTGACGTGACCTCGCGAAGGGGACGCGTAACTCTACCCTCATAAATTGGTTAAACTACCCTTGTATTCAATCTTGACCACGGAGTAGTACCCCCGCGTGGTTAAGATACCGGCGGTTAAAATACCGCGGACTAGGTGTATGAAAAGAGGACACGTGTCAAAAACTTTGCCCCGCAGGACCAGTTTTGAACATACTTTGGGCCTCGCGTGAGCCAAATTCCCGAGATTGGCACTTTTTGAGTAAACTTGGGGGTAAATATGAGAGAAATCTGGAAAATAGGAGCTGGGATGTACTTTCCCTTTTACTATTCCCGTGAGCACAGTCAAGATGAATCAGTGGTGAGGAGACGTAGTGTAGCGACACTTACCATGTGCTTGAAACCTTCTGATTGGCTTTCTTCTTCTCTTCATGCGACTCATTTTACTCTTCGGGTTGGTGGGATTCGCATGATTGGTATGCACGAAATGTTTCATTGCTCGCGGAGGAAAGTAGTTCTCGCCAAAGCAACACAAAGGAAATAGGTTTCGCATACCCTCACCTACAGCCTATATCAAATCCACATACCTTGAAACTTTACCATGCTGACCTCGGGCTTTAAATAAGCAAATGAGGAAGCCTGTTTTCTGCGCCATAAATTGGTGTTTTCTACAATGCTCAATCTTGCTACGAAATTACCTTAAAGCCCGAGTCTAGAATGGTAAGGCTTCAAGAATATTGAACTTGAAAGGTGTTGGGAAAGCGACGGAATGAGCAAGCGATGGTCATGTGAAGGCCAGCGACATGATGGGAGAGCATGGGAGACACTAAGAGTAAGCGTGGGCGACGGACGCGGGAAAGGAGAGCCACCTAAAAGGCAACGGGAGGGGAGGCGAATTCAAGTTCAAGAATCTTGAACTTGAAAAGTTGCCATTCTAGACTCGGGCTTTAAGCATTAACAGCCAGGAGCTAACTTGCTCGGAAGTTAAGAGCTCCACCACTCCCGGAGTAGTCTCTGCTTGGAAAATCATCTCTCCAAAATCAACTGTCTGTGAAACCACCTGTGCATGCCATTCCATGCCACCCTAGGAATCTGATGAATATTTACCAATCTTGAATATACATAATCAGGTAACGTGCATGACCCAGCTTGGTGAAAGCAGCAGCTTGCAACCTGTAGCTTGCAGATATACGGTACCGGTACCCCTATTCCTCGATAACGTATGTACGCCATACAATGCCGACAAGTTCAGCTGCAAGCTCTCGGTCATGATGATCGGAGCTCAATATCATATCCTGCAGAGACCGTGATCTTGAAAAAACTGAACATGTTGGCCATGCTTACCGGTACGTAAACAAATGAACACTTACCTGCACAAGTTTTTGACTTTGTGCTTGATCGAAGTCATCCACTATGTGGTTAAAAATGGCTAGCTTGGTCTTTTCTGCACCCACTCGATCAGCAATTTTTAGAACTTCAACCAGGGCTTCATCCTCAACCTCCATCTCGCATAACTTTGTGTCCATGATGCTCATCAACTCAGCAACATCATATTTGTGCGCAGCTTCGAGCACAGCAAGCCCATCCTGGTGGCAAAGCGCGAGCATGATGAACGAGCAGGAATTTTGCATTGACGTATGGAAGTCATTATCGTAATAACCAGGTGTGCATACCTTAACCGACTCTGGAGAAAGGTTGACATCAAAACCGTACATAAAGGAAAGGAGCCGCCTCAATGTAGAGCCATCCATGTCATTTATTCTCACAACCGAATTCTTGTTGCCATCCACCAATGAAGTGTCGAACATGGCTTTCAGCACAGGAGACCTAGAGAGGAGAAAACGATTGCATATATTAATCGGCAAGAAGCAACGGATTGGTGCAAGCATAATCATTCATATGATTACCACATGGAGATTATGTTGCGATGTGCAGGAACCTTACTCCCATCAGACGCCTCAAAAATGACATCACTGAACTCTGCTCGCTCGAATAATTCTTTCAGCTTCACGACGTGACAGGGTGGATCCGTTTGCCTGCAAGATTCAGCAAATAATAGCTGCTTTCAGTAATGAAGGACTCCATGGACTACGTTTGATCTGGTAAGAATACGACGCCAATAAGCAAGGTGAATAAAAACGTATCCTACTGGTGCAACTTGGCACATGGCGTTAAGCCGTGGGCTTTAAGGATAGTACTATGGAACAAACGTAGGCGTTTGCTGAACCATATCAACGTCGGCCGAATTGGTGATGACTTCCAGTCATCCGTCGACTTGATTTATGGTTCGAATGGATACTCGTACTGATACTATACACGAATGATTACGTGAGAGATGAATTCACGATTATGGCTTACATAGTATCCTCCGTTGACATGCTGAGGTTGGAAACTGCGTAGTTTGGGGCCTCTCAAAATATGACACGCCAGGGAAGCAGAGAATATGCGGGATGAAACGCGAACCCCGAGTTAGGTGGAGTTCAGACTTTGGTTTCCAGCTCCTTTCTGAAGGTGGAAAACATGATGGATATAAGATATCGGCTGTTTGCAGTCACATCGGAAATAAATGATACATGTTTGAGTGGACAGGTTCGCTGGTACGTGGAACCTTGGGACTGTGATGACTCGCGAGCCAGGAAGCAAAATTGCTAGCCTGAAATCTAGGTCACTGGCGCCTGGAACCCCAAGGTGATGGCACGACCGAGGAAGCTGATGTGCGTGAAAGCCCAAGGCCGACCGAAGCAGCGGATTTTGTCTCCAAAACGATGTGAGTGGCCAACGAGGTTGGCGGAGGTCCTGGGTTCTGCGACTTTCGCATACAGTCAATTTTGACTTTCCCGTTTTCGTATATGTAAGTTCGGCGTATATGAGGTAACCGCATGGACTGCTACTTGATGAGATAGGTTTCGCGCCAGCGCCATTATATAGTTTCGCCCAGATACGTGGTTGTTCTCTCCGTTTTGGCTGGCCGTTGGCTCGGCGTGGCGATCAAAATCTGGTTCGAGCAGCCTGTCGCGTCGCACTTCACCAAAAACACCGAGTCGCGAATTGCTGCTGCAGGCGCATGGAAGGAAGGGAGGAGAGGAGAAATTTGCTGCTGAGGGGAGGGGAGGTAGAGGTCCAGACCCCGACCAGGCAGACACACCTTGTCAAGGCAAATGATGAGCCAGAGTAGGGTTGAGGTCGGCAGGAGTCTTCAGCCTAGCACCATTCTTCAGTTTACAACTACGCTACGACGTCTATTACAGTTGTGGTTTGGGGCAGAGCGTTAGACAAGAACCTGCCTGTTCCCGCCCGGGTCCTTCTGGATTAAGTTACGGTTAGGTTACTGTGAAACGTGTTCCGCCTTCCCAGATCTGTTGCCGCACAACAGTGAAATTGCTTTGTGCGCGCCACCACCACTTCCACTCACACGGAGCTTGTCCCAGGCCTACTCTGCGCCAACCTTGCTAGGAAACGCTCCTCTTACACTAAGAAGATTCAAAACTACCTGTTGTAGTGCCCTGTAGCTAGCCTCGCTTATCCATGCCCGCTGCCATGCAGCCTCAACTCCCCAAGCTGCTCTTGCTCTCCGTAGCGCTTCTTGCCCCTCTCCTGCTCTCCGCACATCATCGCGTAGATGCGTGTGCGGGCGCGGAGCGTCGCGTGCTGGTGGAGAATGCGACGGCGTCGCAGGTGCAGGACGAGGTCCTGCGACTCAAGGAGACGCTCGCACGCGTGTCGCAGTACTCGCTGGCCCTCGCCGGGATCCACGCCATCTGTGAGTGAAGGCGAGATGGCGTGGTATGGTACGGTACGGCATGATAAGGTGCAAGGGTATGCACTTCGACGAGACGCAGTACGAGGCGTGGTACGGGATAAGAGCGGTGTATAACGCATCGTCGCGAATTGATGCTGCCAATGGCGGCAGAATCGGCCTCGTCCCTTCGAGTCTCCCCACAATAGCCTTCATCCTGTTTCTGGTCGTCACATTACCCGCTTCCCTTGCAATTCTTACCGACACTCTGACGAAAGCCTTTCCAGTCTCCGATTTCCAGCCTCTCTCCTCCAACCTCCCAGCCGAGCCTCCGTTATTATTTCTCCTTTCCTCACATTCGCTCATCTTCCGCTCTCCCTTCCTGTCTCCTCTACCTCCTCCCTCCCTCCCCCTCCGCACCCCGTCCCCTCCATTTTCCTCCGCGCTCCTCCCCCGCAACAGGGAACGATTCGGGAGTCGACTTCCGCGTGTTGCTCGACACGACACTCTTAATCCCCACCGACTCCGCGCTTCTCTCCGCGGAGATCAACACCAGCGGGATCACCTACGCTGACGTCGAAGCGGTGCTTAAAATGCACGTCATGCCGCGCCGCCGGGCGTACAGCAAGGTTGAGTGCGGTGAGCCCATGCCGTTCCTGCTCACGCCCGCGAATTGGACCTGGCCGACGCTCGGCGGGGTGCCTCTAACGAGGATAGTTCCGCCGAGCGACTGCGTGAAGCTCTCCCCGACAGTGGGCATGAGCGAGTATTACGGAGCTGAAATGGTTAATCCGAGTCTGTTTGTAGGGAAATATTTCACAGCGCATGGCGTGGATAAGGTGCTTCAACAGCCGTACTACTGATGAGAGCAGATATAAGGTTCTCGCCCCTCCTCCCTTCTCACGCCCACGATACGAGATCTGTACAGCTGATGAGAGCAGATAATATATGGTTACACCTGAGAAGCGGGAAGCGGGGAAAGAGGGGAGACGAGATGGCACGAGGGGAAAGGAGACGAGACGAGACGAGATGAGGTGGAACGTGTTATGAGACGTTTGACATTCTGGGAAGTGAAATTGGAGAGTTCAGAAGCGAGCGGCTGGAGGGACGAAGGTTGGCAAGGAGGAAAGGAGGTTCGTTCTGTGGGCCTAAAAGGGAGGAGGGGCAAGAAGGGGATATGGGAGGTGCTGGTGTGTGTGTGGGGAGGGGCATACGGATGGCCCACCATTGGTTCTGTTCCATCCCATCCCATCCCATCCCATCCCATCCCATCCCATCCCATCCCATCCCATCCCATCCCATCCCATCCCATCGCATCCCATCCCATCCCATTCCATCCCATTCCATCCCATCCCATCCCATCCCATCCCATCCCATCCCATCCCATCCCATCCCATCCCATCCCATCCCATCCCATCCCATCCCATCCCATACCATCACTTGCATCGCCTCCTCCGTTCAAGCTTCCTTACGCCCAAGCAGCAAATGCATGCAGCATGCAGGGTACCATGCGTTGTAGTACATAGTCACAATGGAGTGACAAGCTAACTAAAGCTAGTAGAATAGTAACCTGAAGAAGAGATCGGGCTGTGTGCTACTCAATGAAAAACTGATCTGACATGGCAGCTGTTGACAAAAGCAGTTTTTTCTCCCCTTATGTGTTGACTCATCAATGGTATAACAAAGCACATGAAACATGATTGGCCGTAGTACAATCCATCATCTGCGTGCCAACCAATCCTGATCCTACTTGATGTGAATCTGCATATTAAAACCATCTATAAACCCAACCTGCCATTCTCCTCATGCACCTCCTCCCTCTCGTCGCTCTCCTTAACCTCCAATTGCATCCGCCGTGAGAGAGAGCGAGGGAGAGACGGGGAGTTCGAAGACAGAGGCGTGGAGAGCGGTGCAGAGGGGTGAGGTCTGAGTGAGCGGTGTGGCAAGCGGAAGGAATGCATTATGCTGCCATTGGCAGCAATGAAAGTGAAGTCCTGTGAAGGTTGGGTAAGAGAATGGACAGAATAGAGGGATAGGACATGGGGAAAGAGAGGAGAACATACAGTAATAAAATACGGTTCTTTAGTCAGAAAGGCAGGAAGGCAGCGTCGAAATTGAGATACAAAGACTAGGACAAGAATCATGAGGAGTGCGCTAGATTCGCTACCAGTGTGCTACAGGATAAGGAGATTTTCAATGTTGTGTGTATCCCCATGCATACACCAAGGACATCATCCAGCATCCCACCCAGCAGCATACCAGCCCAGCCAGCATCCCACCCAGCACCCCACCCAACATCCCAGCGAGCATACCAGCCAGTGGCGAGTGGCAGCGTGCTTGAGAAAGCCAAAGAAAGAGGAGTCGGCCCACACTGTGTCGCCCGTGGGATGCACCCAGTGCCGCTTGTACCCCCCCACGCCGTTACCCACGTGCACCACTCCGCACCGCTCTAAATGCTGCGCCACGTGGTCGTGGCCAAAGAGATAGACGTCCTGTGGTGGGCATGGGGGGAGATGGGGGGCAGGGCAGGGAAGTGGGGGAAGGGGAGATGAGGGGGGTGAGGAGGAGGAGGAGGAGGAGGAGGAGGAGGAGGAGGACGAGGTTGTGAAAAGAGTGAGGATGAAAACAGGGAAACCTGGTGGGAGGGAGGCACAGGGGGAGTGAGGAAGGAGTGAGATAAGAGGAAGCATTTGTTCAGGCTAAGTGTTAATAGCAAATGACAACACATGCTATCAACAGCAGCACATGCTATCAACAGCAGAACCTGCGATCAACCGCAGCACCTGCGATCAACCGCACACAGTGCAGTGCATAAGTAGGGGCCCACCACTTGGTACTTGTGCAGCAGTGGCAGCAGCAAGGAGGAGAAGCGGGGCTCGGCAGGAAAGCGAGGGCGCACTCCTGCTGTGATGATGGGCCGATGGCCTACCACCACTTTCCTGGGCGATGGGTCAGCATGGGCAGAGGGTAAGGGCAGGGGGCAGAGGTAGGGGGTAGGCCGTGAGAAGATACGAGCACAAGAGGGGAAAAGCGAGAAGCATGCGAAGGGAAGGCGGGAGAGGATGAGAGAAGGTAACATGCGTGAGCGAGTAGATTTTCGTCTCTCATCTTCAACCTGACGTAAAAACAAAACACACAAAAGACCTCAATAAACCTCATCAAGTACATTCTTCCCATCTGAAGCAGCGTGCTGCTGTGCCAAGGTTTCTCTCTTTGCTCTAAATGCCCACAATATGGCCTCAAACCTCAGCCCAGCTGCATGGTTTGACAGATCTCGAGCCTCGACGGTTTACCAATCCCACTCCCCGTTCATCCCCCATCCCTCCATCTTCCATCCATCCGCCATCCCTCCATCTTCCATCCATCCCCCACCCCTCCATCTTCCATCCATCCCTCCCCCATCCCTCCCGCCCACCTGCCCACCCGCCCCTCTCACCATCGGGCTGTGCTTTTCTGAAGCTGTGCTTCCAGCCACTGCAGCTGCTGCCTGCCTGCCTGCACACATGCATGCATGCACACATGCAGATAAGGTGCATGGGGAGAGGGGGGATGGAGTGGGGTTAGATGAGCACAAGCGAGGGAAAGGAACATGGTGTGTGTGCGTGTGTGTGGGTGTGTGTGGGTGTGTGTGTGTGTGTATGTGTGTGTGTGTGTGTGTGTGTGTGTGTGTGTGTCTGCGTGCGTGTGAAACGGCATGGGTGGTGGCCGGCCGGCACCTGTGAGCCCATGAGACCAAGGGAGTGGTTACTTTTGAGAATTGTCAAAAGCGACTGAGATATGCACCTGAGGGCCGACGAGGTCGAGGGAGTAGTTAGAGAAGAAGCGCCGGTCATTGTCATTAGAAGCTCCCAGCACTCCCTGCCACACTCACATGCACGCACGCACGCACGCACACGCACACGCAAACACATGCTCGCACACACGCACACGCAAACACATGCTCGCACACACGCACACACGCACACGCAAACACATGCTCGCACACACGTGCAGCAACATGCACGAACACACACAGAAACAACAGCACAGCATGAAGAGGAGGATGGGAGTTGGGAACGAGAATCAGGAAAGAAGAAGGGAGAAGCCGTGTGAGGGAGGAATGCGGAGAGGCGACTCGTGGCCTCACAGAGGGCCTATGGAGTTGGGATGAGAAGTGTGAATGTGCTCCCCTGTGCCTCACAGGAGGGAGGGAGGGAGGGAGGGAGGGAAGGGAAGGAACCAACGAGGGAGGGAGGTGAGGCAGGGAAGGAGCCAAGGAGTGAGCGAGAGGAAGGAAGGCATTAAGGAGAGAGAGGCACCTCGAGGCCAATGGAGTTGGTAAAGAAAAAGTCTATGTGCTCCTTTGTGCCTCCCCCGTTGGTGCTGCTTCCTTTTCTGAGGCGCTTAGAAATTTACCTCGAGGCCAATGGAGTTGGTGAAGAAGAAGTCTATGTGCTCCTCTATGCCTCCCCCACTGCTACCATCACCGCCACCACTGCTGCTGCCCTCCACTTCTCCCCCTCCCCCTCCCACTCCTGCTCCCCCTGCCTCTCCTGCGCCTATCCCATCCGCCCCCACTTCCCCCACTCCCTCTCCTCCTCCTCCTGAATCCCCTGTGCCGGTGGCAGTTGGGCGAGGGCGGGGCAGCGGCAGGGAGAGGGAGTAGTAGGGCGAGGGGAGGTACCACTTGGAGGAGGCGTGGGAGTGAGCCACCTGTGCTGCCACGCTGCCCTTGTTGTCGTGATCGCCCAGTGACATGTACCTGTGGGAGGGGGGGGGGTGAGAACGGGGGATAATTTGAAAAGGCAGGGGGAAGGGGGTGGTTGAGTCGATCCAGGAACAGCCACACTGCCCTTGTTGTCGTAATCGCCTGTACCTGTGGGTGTGACCGGGGAAAGTGGGGTTGCGGGAGGGGGGGGGGGGGGGCGAAGGTGGGGGGGTTGGCCAACGAATCAACTAGAAAAATGGTTCAGTCTCAGAAGTCAGCTCGGTTTTGAGCGGGGTGAGGGTTGAGGGAGGGGGATGATGGGGAGTGGGGGGGAACGGGGATGATGGGAGGGGCAGAAGCCTTGCTGAAGGGCAGGGCGAGAGGGCACAGCGTAAGGATTAGCCCGACCATCGCAGTTGCAGAGCAAGGTGCGTGCACACCCCATCAAATACTCAGTGGAAGAGTAGATCCGTCTCTTCTCTTGAGTCAACTCAAGCCAACTCAATCAGAGATTAGCCTGACCATCGCACTTGCAGGGCAGGGTGCGGTGCATGTAGAGTAGACGCCCTCAAGGCTCAACCTCAACACACACCATGTAAAAGTGTGTCTGCGAGTCTGCCTTTCGAGGGAAAGAGTGCACTTGAGGCTCGGGGCGGGTGCGGTGCGGGTAGGCTTTTGAGTGCAGGGTGCGAGCACTTTTGCCTCACACGCACTCACTCAACTAGAAGAAGAAGCACTGACCATCGCACTTGCAGCGCTGGGTGTGTGTACACGCCTTCAAAGACGCGGTGGAAGAGCGGATCCGCCTCCCCCGTGACCCCGTTGTCATACACGTTGTCCCCCACTGACACCACAAAGCGTGCCCCCGCTGCCTCTGCTACTGCCCCCATCTGCCGTGTATGGGGGAGCGAGAGGCGCAGGGGGGAAGGGGAGATGCGCAGGGGGGAAGGGGAGATGCGCAGGGGGGAAGGGGAGATGCGCAGAGAGGGAAGGGAGATACACAGGCAGTGAAAGGGAAGCGGCACGGGGGCAAATGGGGGGAAAGGGAGAGGGGCAGTGGAAGAGCGGATCCGCCTCCCCCGTGACCCCGTTGTCATACACGTTGTCCCCCACTGACACCACAAAGCGTGCCCCCGCTGCCTCTGCTACTGCCCCCATCTGCAGCAAGGGAGGGAGTGAGGGGGGGGAGGGGAGCGGCACAAGGGAGCAAATTGGGACAGAAAATATTCAAACTGCGCTTGGTGCCGAGTGCATGTGCATGTGGAACAGGAGCAGGGCGAGGGAGAGAAGGAGGGAGAGGGCCGGTAGTGTGGGTAAAACTGGGCAAAAGGTCAGGTGATGAGGGGAGACGGGCAGGAGACTGAACCAAACAGGAGGGTGGATCGGCGTCCATGTGACAAGAAGGCAAAGTTGAGTCACTCGTACTTTATAATCACTCCAGCCTAAGGCATTCATCATGTGAAATGAGGGAGTTTTTGAGACGTCTCAAAACTCCCTCATTTCACGTTGAGTCACTCATACTTTATTATCACTGCAGCCTAAGGCATTCATCATTCTGTCACCATTATAACACCCCAATCCCCTCATGCCCCCCCATGTCTCCCCATCTCTCCCATAACCCTTCCAATTCCCATGTCCCCTCTCCGCCCCCATCCCCTCCCCCCACTCCCTCCTCCCATTTTCCTCCCCCTTCCCTCCCTCCTTTCTCCCCCTCCTCCTTGCAAAGCAAACTCTCACCTGTGCAGCCACAGCTTTTTGTGAGTCGTTCGCGTTTCCAAAATCCCCAATCGACAGGAAAACCATTGGTTCAGACTCGCCGTCGGCTGTACTCCCATCTCCATCCCCCGGTACAGGAACGCTAACTCGCTCGTTAATGTCACACCCGCTACTGCCGCCAACCGCCACAAGAACCTCCCCAGGCAAGCCTCCCCCGCGCGCATCTTCCGCCACCACCCAGTCCGCGCGCGTCCCCCATCCCCCCGCCGCGCCCGCCAGCGCCGCGCATATCCCCGTTATAAGCAGGAACAGGAGCGCGACGACTGCGCATTTGGTGCCGAGAAACGCGCGCGGGTGGAGCAAGCGACGGAGAAACAGCGACGCCTGGAGGCGCATCTGCTGCAGCATCGGCGACGCGCGGCGCTGCGGGGAGTTGAGAGGAGCGCCGACGTCGCCGCTGCCGCCGCCGCCGCCGCCACCGCCGACGGCGGCGCCGGCGGAAAAGGAGCCTTCTTCTAGTCGTATCGGATCTGACGCGAGAGGGTGGTCAGGTATTTGATCGATCTGCTGCCGACTGTTCGTACGCTGCATGTGCTTCTAACGAGAGGTCAACTGCTGGGCGAGGAGGTGAACGGGAATGTGACACAAACGAATCTGTCCGCTGAGAATGGCTGTCGCGCTGCTTGTGCGTTCAAATCGCGTGCGTGTGCGGAAGAAACGGGACGCGCAGGCAACTTGCTTAAGCCCACGGGAGAAAGTGAGGAAGCTGGGCACGGTGCGGCGGAGCAGCCTGGCGGGCTTGCTCACGTGAGCAAGCTAGACAGGCGAAACGAACCGCGACACGGAGTGTTATACCACGGAGTGTTATACCCGCTCTTTCTAAGCCAACGCACTGAAATTCGACCGTGTCCTGTGAACTAGACAGCAAGAACTGCTGGGACACGGAGGAAGTTGAGAGATAGCAAATAAAGACCAAGCTAACCCATCATGTGCATCTTTAGTTGCAGTTGCAGCAAGGACAGTTTCTAGGCCCTTGAGAATGCCACTTTCGTTCGCCTGGAGTTGGCGAAGGATGTGCTGTTTCGTTCATTCTGAAGCTGCTCTTCGCAAGTGCGACATGCTTCGCAAGCTGTGCACGAAATCATTCCTGCTACGGTTCACGGCAAAAGCTAGCGGAAACGGGCCAATACGAAATGGTTTCCATTTTTCGCTAGTTTCCATGTGGGATGCGTGGACATCGTCAACCTGACCAATCAACAACCGCAATCACCTCGCCGTGTGTTGTTCGCGTGAATGGACCAATGATGGGATAGGCAGTTGTTCAGAAGACCTGACTTCTTGAATTCGCCGATTAAAGCAGCGGTATACATTTGACAGGGCCAGTGCCAAAAGTTTATAAAAGGTACTTGGTGGTAGCCGAGTTACAGGCCCACTCAACTTATGTCACGAGCAACGGTTCCGAAGTGTTCCCAACTCCCCTCACCAGCCGAGGCCACTCAATCGTCGAAAGTTAATACATGCCAAAAGTATACTGAAGGAGTTGCCTCCCCGCACTAGCCCCAAGCATTCCCGCCGTGAACTACTATGGAAACTAGCTACCGGGGGCAATATTTGCCATTACGATCAAGCTTGATCTTTCGCTTAGGTCATACGCCGTCCATACCATGGCTTAGATTTTGCGTCGCCTCGTAGACTCGCCTCAACGCCCGTCGCGGCGTCACCTCTCGGCAAATCCGCTCCCGGCGTCGCCTCGCCGCAAATACGCACGCGGCGTCGCCTCGCCGCAAATACGCAGCGGCTTCGCCTCGTCGCAAATACTCACGCGGCGTCGCCTCGCCGCAAATCCGCTCGCGGCGTCGCCTCGCCGCAAATCCGCTCGCGACGTCGCCTCGCCGCAAATCCGCTCGCGGCGGCTCCTCGTCGCAACACGATGCCTCCTCACGCCACCGCGATCACGCTGGCCGCGCCACACGCTGCGGCCCTCGTGCTCCTCCCAATATACCCTTTTCGCTGCCCGATCTACCTTTACCGGCCCCCGATCTCCCTTCCCGCCGCCCCTTTGACCTTCCCGCCGCCCCATTCCCGTTCCCGCCGCCCGATTCCCCTTTCCCGGCGCCCGATCCCCCGTTCTCGCCGCCCGATTCCCCTTTCCCGCAGCCAGATTCCCCTTTCCGCCGCCCCTTTGACCTTCCCGCCGCCCAATTCCCCTTTTTCGCCACCCAAAGACCCCGTTCCTCCCGCCATTCTCCCCTTCCCGCCGCCCATTCTTCCCTTCCCGCCTCTCATTCAAATCTTCCTGCCTCCCTTCCCTCCCTTATCTCCCGTCCCTCCCTTCCCTCCCTTCCCGCCCTTCTCTCCCTTCCCTCCCTTCTCTCCCGTCCCTCCCTTCTCTCACGTCCCTCCCTTCTTTCCCTGCCCTCCCTAATCTCCCCTCCCTTCCCTCCCTTTTCTCCCTTCCATCCTTTCTCTCCCTTCCCTCCCTTCTCTCCCTTCCCTCCCTTCTCTCCCTTCCCTCCCTTCTCTCCCTTCCCTCCCTTCCCTCCCTTCTCTCCTTTTTCTTCCTTCATTCCCTTTTCTCCCTTCCCTCCCTTCCCTCCCTTTTTCCCTTCCCTCCCTTCTCTCCCTTCCCTACCTTCTCTCCCTTGCCTCCCTTCTCTCGCTTTTCTCCCTTGTCTCCTTTCCCTCCCTTCTCTCCCTTTCCTCCCTTCTCTCCCTTCCTTCCCTTCCCTCCCTTCCTTTCCTTCCCTCCCTTCCCTCCTTTTTCTTCCTTCATTCCCTTTTCTCCCATCCCTCTCTTTTCTCCCTTCCCTCCCTTCCCTCCCTTTTCCCCTTCCCTCCCTTCTCTCCCTTCCCTCCCTTCTCTCCCTTGCCTCCCTTCTCTCGCTTTTCTCCCTTGTCTCCCTTCCCTCCCTTCTCTCCCTTTCCTCCCTTCTCTCCCTTCCTTCCCCTCCATCCCTACTCTCCCTTCCTTCCCTTCCCTCCCTTCCCTCCCTTCCCTCCCTTCCCTCCTTTTTCTTCCTTCATTCCCTTTTCTCCCTTCCCTCTCTTTTCTCCCTTCCCTACCTTCCCTCCCTTTTTCCCTTCCCTCCCTTCTCTCCCTTCCCTACCTTCTCTCCCTTGCCTCCCTTCTCTCGCTTTTCTCCCTTGTCTCCCTTCCCTCCCTTCTCTCCCTTTCCTCCCTTCTCTACCTTCCTTCCCTTCCCTCACTTCTCTCCCTTCCCTCCCTTCCCTCCTTTTTCTTCCTTCATTCCCTTTTCTCCCTTCCCTACCTTATCTCCCTTTCCTCCCTTTCCTCCCTTCTCTCCCTTTCCTCCCTTCTCTCCCTTCCCGCACTTCTCTCCCTTCCCTCACTTCTTTCCCTTCCCTCAGTTCTCTCCCTTCCCTCCCTTCTCTCCCTTCCCTCCCTTTTCTCCCTCCTTTCTTCTCTTCCGCTTCGTGCATTCCCATTGTCCGCTGCCTGCCTCACAATCTCTCCTCCCAGTCTTACCCTTGTCATCCTGCCTGTCATCCCCTCTCCCCTCCCTGCATACCCCTCTCTTCCTGTACTCCCCTCTCTGCGCCTCTCTTCCTGCCCTACCCTCTCTGCGCCTCTCCCCCTCACTGTGCCCTCTCGCCCCCCTGCTATACTATTCCCTCTTGTTACCTTTCCTGCCACCCCTCCAAAGCTGAAAGCGATCTCAAAGTGCTTTTCCTCACATGCCTTCCAAAGCCTCCTTCTCCTCACTTCTCCCCCTGAGTCCCCTCCTCTCCCCCAACCTGATTCCCCTCATTTCCTTCCCCCCCCCCCCCCCCCCCTCCTGATTCCCCTCATTTTCTCCATGGTTCCTCTCATTCTCTCCCTAATTCCCCTTATTTTCTCCCTGATTCCCCTCATCACAGCCTGTGGTTGAGCTATTACCCTTTTCTTATTCCCCGCCCTCGGATTCTTTCCCCTTCCCTGACTATTTCAGTGACTGACTGCTCTGAAGATTTCAAGCTTCAACACGCCGCACGCAATCATCTCATGTCAAAGCAGCTAATATTTGTTGCAGAGAGGCTCAATAGTACGGTACCTTGCTTCGTCCTCTTGGCCTTTGCCTACAGTCTAAAGTTATGTGAGAACAAGTTTCTTTCTAACTGTAAGGGATGTGATGTGACACCTGTTCATGCATCTTGGAAAGATACATTGCACTGCTGAATCATGGTAGTACATATTGGGCTTCATCATGACGCATATTTCTAGGAATAACTCACTACCATGCATTACAACGCACACGAGACAAAACATAAGTGGTGACATACCATCCACTAGCTACGCCTCTGCTTGTACCTGCTGCCCTCTGTATCAACACAAACAAATAGCAGAGTAGGCAAAAACGATTGTGTAATGCTCCTTGGAAGGTGCTGTGAGACAGAAGAGAAGCAACAAAGGAAGTCAAGCACGTGATGGCACTACATGCACAAGAACTGAAGGGTAGACGGTGACGAGTAGGTGAGGGGAGGGGGGAGGGCATGCAAGGGAAGGGAAGGGAGAAGGAACAGGAAAGGGAAGGGTGGGGTAGGGAAGGGAAGGGCAGGGGTCCGGACAGGGATGGAAGGTCAGGGAAGGGAAAAGCAGGAAAGAAGGGGATGAATTGGGCGGACTGGTGTTGTGTAATAACGCAGGTAGCTACCCCGACCAGGCCACGAACTCGTCGCGGTGTAACGCACTGCTTCACACGCACTCGCAACAGCGCAGTGGTGCTGGCCACCAGGCCACGACACGGGAGGGGAGATGCGAAGGCAGGGAGAGCAAATAGCCGGCATGCTCACTGCCATGTCAGCATGCATGCTGGCGACTGCTGACGTGGTGCAGTGGTGGCAGAAGGGGCGGCAGCAGCGAGGGTGAGCGAGGTGCATTGGGCCACTGCTGTAGCCGTTTCCCTGTCTGTATCTCCAGTGACTGAGGAGGCCCTAGGGGCCAGAACGGGCAGCAGGGTGCGGTACGAGGTGAGTTGCCTCGTCAGCGAGCTTTGATTGGCCGTTGATGAGTTCCATTGCAAGGCCGACAGCCAGCGCTATGGTGTCAAACACGTGCTTCACCTGCAGTACAAGGCAGAATGGCACGGTGGGGGGCAAGGAAGGGGAGAGAGGAAGAAGGGGAGAGCAGGATTGCATGTTGGGCAGAAAGACAAGTTAAGTTGTGGGGGGAATGGTGGGAGAGGAGGGTTGACGGTTGAAACTCGGCTCTGTCTGCGAGCAAGGGAGTGTGAGTGCACGGCAGCAGTTTGTGTGTGCATATGAGTGCACAGCAGCACAGTAGCGCCATAACACCCACCTGAACAGTCAGGTATCAAGTGGGCAACACAACGACCGCTCTGACTCATCGCACCATGTGCCGCACCAGGGCCTGCATCACTGGCAGCACATACGCCAGCGTCTACTGGGGAGGGGGAAATGACCGTATTACCAGAGACCTGAGCATCCAGGTCTCTGGTGGGCAGCACTACCACCGCCCGCACCACACGCCCTGCCAGTGCCTGCACCAATGGCAGTGCATACGATAGGGTAGCAGGGGGAAAACAAACCAGAAAGGAGGGGAGAAACAGAGTGTAAGCTGGAGGGGAAGGAAGAGTGAGCATGGGGGAGGAAGGCTAGCACGGGTGAAAGGAAATGGTAAGCAAGGGTGGACCCTAATGAAGAGCAGGGGGGGAATTAGGAAAAGGAGGGTGGAAAAATAGGGGAAGCAAACAGGAAAAATGATGGGAAGCAAGGGAGGAAAGGCGGGACAGAGAGGAAGAGGGGAAGTGCGGAAGAGAGGAAGGGGGCAAGGAAGGAGATTGGTCGAGATAGGGAACAGGGGGCTAGAAGAAGAGAATTGACGAGGAGGAGAGGGAAGGGAGGAGATTGGACGGGGGAGGAGAGGGAAGGGAGGAAAATGGACGAGTGAGGGATGAGATTGGGCACGGAAGGAGAGTGAAGGTAGGAGAGGGGATGGAGAGGAAAAGGGGCCAGCAGAGGGGGGGAGTCAGGGAGGGAAAGGAGGGAATGCAGGGGGGGAAATGAGGGGATGCTGTGGGAGGGGAACAGGAGGGGATGCAGGGAGGGAAAGGAGGGGATGCAGGGGCGGAAAGGAGGGGATGCAGGGGCGGAAAGGAGGGGATGCAGGGGCGGAAAGGAGGGGATGCAGGGGCGGAAAGGAGGGGATGCAGGGGCGGAAAGGAGGGGATGCAGGGGCGGAAAGGAGGGGATGCAGGGGCGGAAAGGAGGGGATGCAGGGGCGGAAAGGAGGGGATGCAGGGGCGGAAAGGAGGGGATGCAGGGGCGGAAAGGAGGGGATGCAGGGGCGGAAAGGAGGGGATGCAGGGGCGGAAAGGAGGGGATGCAGGGGCGGAAAGGAGGGGATGCAGGGGCGGAAAGGAGGGGATGCAGGGGCGGAAAGGAGGGGATGCAGGGGCGGAAAGGAGGGGATGCAGGGGCGGAAAGGAGGGGATGCAGGGGCGGAAAGGAGGGGATGCAGGGGCGGAAAGGAGGGGATGCAGGGGCGGAAAGGAGGGGATGCAGGGGCGGAAAGGAGGGGATGCAGGGGCGGAAAGGAGGGGATGCAGGGGCGGAAAGGAGGGGATGCAGGGGCGGAAAGGAGGGGATGCAGGGGCGGAAAGGAGGGGATGCAGGGGCGGAAAGGAGGGAAATGAGGAGAAGCTGCACGGAGGGAGCGGAGTGGGCAGAGGGAGCAGAGGCAGCGGAGTGGGCAGAGGGAGCAGAGGCAGCGGAGTGGGCAGAGGGAGCAGAGGCAGCGGAGTGGGCAGAGGGAGCAGAGGCAGCGGAGTGGGCAGAGGGAGCAGAGGCAGCGGAGTGGGCAGAGGGAGCAGAGGCAGCGGAGTGGGCAGAGGGAGCAGAGGCAGCGGAGTGGGCAGAGGGAGCAGAGGCAGCGGAGTGGGCAGAGGGAGCAGAGGCAGCGGAGTGGGCAGAGGGAGCAGAGGCAGCGGAGTGGGCAGAGGGAGCAGAGGCAGCGGAGTGGGCAGAGGGAGCAGAGGCAGCGGAGTGGGCAGAGGGAGCAGAGGCAGCGGAGTGGGCAGAGGGAGCAGAGGCAGCGGAGTGGGCAGAGGGAGCAGAGGCAGCGGAGTGGGCAGAGGGAGCAGAGGGAGCGGAGTGGGCAGAGGGAGCAGAGGCAGCGGAGTGGGCAGAGGGAGCAGAGGCAGCGGAGTGGGCAGAGGGAGCAGAGGCAGCAGAGTGGGCAGAGGGAGCAGAGGCAGCGGAGTGGGCAGAGGGAGCAGAGGCAGCAGAGTGGGCAGAGGGAGCAGAGGCAGCGGAGTGGGCAGAGGGAGCAGAGGCAGCAGAGTGGGCAGAGGGAGCAGAGGCAGCGGAGTGGGCAGAGGGAGCAGAGGCAGCAGAGGCAGCAGAGGCAGCAGAGGCAGCAGAGGCAGCAGAGGCAGCAGAGTGGGCAGAGGGAGCAGAGGCAGCGGAGTGGGCAGAGGGAGCAGAGGCAGCAGAGTGGGCAGAGGGAGCAGAGGCAGCGGAGTGGGCAGAGGGAGCAGAGGCAGCGGAGTGGGCAGAGGGAGCAGAGGCAGCGGAGTGGGCAGAGGGAGCAGAGGCAGCGGAGTGGGCAGAGGGAGCAGAGGCAGCGGAGTGGGCAGAGGAGCAGAGGCAGCGGAGTGGGCAGAGGGAGCAGAGGCAGCGGAGTGGGCAGAGGGAGCAGAGGCAGCGGAGTGGGCAGAGGGAGCAGAGGCAGCAGAGTGGGCAGAGGGAGCAGAGGCAGCGGAGTGGGCAGAGGGAGCAGAGGGAGCGGAGTGGGCAGAGGGAGCAGAGGCAGCGGAGTGGGCAGAGGGAGCAGAGGCAGCGGAGTGGGCAGAGGGAGCAGAGGCAGCAGAGTGGGCAGAGGGAGCAGAGGCAGCGGAGTGGGCAGAGGGAGCAGAGGCAGCAGAGTGGGCAGAGGGAGCAGAGGCAGCGGAGTGGGCAGAGGGAGCAGAGGCAGCAGAGTGGGCAGAGGGAGCAGAGGCAGCAGAGTGGGCAAAGGGAGCAGAGGCAGCAGAGGCAGCAGAGGCAGCAGAGGCAGCAGAGGCAGCAGAGGCAGCAGAGGCAGCAGAGGCAGCAGAGTGGGCAGAGGGAGCAGAGGCAGCGGAGTGGGCAGAGGGAGCAGAGGCAGCAGAGTGGGCAGAGGGAGCAGAGGCAGCGGAGTGGGCAGAGGGAGCAGAGGCAGCAGAGTGGGCAGAGGGAGCAGAGGCAGCGGAGTGGGCAGAGGGAGCAGAGGCAGCAGAGTGGGCAGAGGGAGCAGAGGCAGCGGAGTGGGCAGAGGGAGCAGAGGCAGCAGAGTGGGCAGAGGGAGCAGAGGCAGCAGAGTGGGCAGAGGGAGCAGAGGCAGCGGAGTGGGCAGAGGGAGCAGAGGCAGCGGAGTGGGCAGAGGGAGCAGAGGCAGCGGAGTGGGCAGAGGGAGCAGAGGCAGCAGAGTGGACAGAGGGAGCAGAGGCAGCAGAGTGGGCAGAGGGAGCAGAGGCAGCAGAGTGGGCAGAGGGAGCAGAGGCAGCAGAGTGGGCAGAGGGAGCAGAGTGGGCAGAGGGAGCAGAGGCAGCGGAGTGGGCAGAGGGAGCAGAGGCAGCGGAGTGGGCAGAGGGAGCAGAGGCAGCAGAGTGGGCAGAGGGAGCAGAGGCAGCGGAGTGGGCAGAGGGAGCAGAGGCAGCAGAGTGGGCAGAGGGAGCAGAGGCAGCAGAGTGGGCAGAGGGAGCAGAGGCAGCGGAGTGGGCAGAGGGAGCAGAGGCAGCAGAGTGGGCAGAGGGAGCAGAGGCAGCGGAGTGGGCAGAGGGAGCAGAGTGGGCAGAGGGAGCAGAGGCAGCGGAGTGGGCAGAGGGAGCAGAGGCAGCGGAGTGGGCAGAGGGAGCAGAGGCAGCGGAGTGGGCAGAGGGAGCAGAGGCAGCAGAGTGGGCAGAGGGAGCAGAGGCAGCGGAGTGGGCAGAGGGAGCAGAGGCAGCAGAGTGGGCAGAGGGAGCAGAGGCAGCGGAGTGGGCAGAGGGAGCAGAGGCAGCAGAGTGGGCAGAGGGAGCAGAGGCAGCAGAGTGGGCAGAGGGAGCAGAGGCAGCGGAGTGGGCAGAGGGAGCAGAGGCAGCAGAGTGGGCAGAGGGAGCAGAGGCAGCAGAGTGGGCAGAGGGAGCAGAGGCAGCAGAGTGGGCAGAGGGAGCAGAGGCAGCAGAGTGGGCAGAGGGAGCAGAGGCAGCGGAGTGGGCAGAGGGAGCAGAGTGGGCAGAGGGAGTAGAGGCAGCGGAGTGGGCAGAGGGAGCAGAGGCAGCGGAGTGGGCAGAGGGAGCAGAGGCAGCAGAGTGGGCAGAGGGAGCAGAGGCAGCGGAGTGGGCAGAGGGAGCAGAGGCAGCAGAGTGGGCAGAGGGAGCAGAGGCAGCAGAGTGGGCAGAGGGAGCAGAGGCAGCGGAGTGGGCAGAGGGAGCAGAGGCAGCAGAGTGGGCAGAGGGAGCAGAGGCAGCGGAGTGGGCAGAGGGAGCAGAGGCAGCAGAGTGGGCAGAGGGAGCAGAGGCAGCAGAGTGGGCAGAGGGAGCAGAGGCAGCAGAGTGGGCAGAGGGAGCAGAGGCAGCGGAGTGGGCAGAGGGAGCAGAGGCAGCGGAGTGGGCAGAGGGAGCAGAGGCAGCAGAGTGGGCAGAGGGAGCAGAGGCAGCGGAGTGGGCAGAGGGAGCAGAGGCAGCGGAGTGGGCAGAGGGAGCAGAGGCAGCAGAGTGGGCAGAGGGAGCAGAGGCAGCAGAGTGGGCAGAGGGAGCAGAGGCAGCGGAGTGGGCAGAGGGAGCAGAGGCAGCAGAGTGGGCAGAGGGAGCAGAGGCAGCGGAGTGGGCAGAGGGAGCAGAGGCAGCGGAGTGGGCAGAGGGAGCAGAGGCAGCAGAGTGGGCAGAGGGAGCAGAGGCAGCGGAGTGGGCAGAGGGAGCAGAGGCAGCAGAGTGGGCAGAGGGAGCAGAGGCAGCGGAGTGGGCAGAGGGAGCAGAGGCAGCGGAGTGGGCAGAGGGAGCAGAGGCAGCAGAGTGGGCAGAGGGAGCAGAGGCAGCAGAGTGGGCAGAGGGAGCAGAGGCAGCGGAGTGGGCAGAGGGAGCAGAGGCAGCGGAGTGGGCAGAGGGAGCAGAGGCAGCGGAGTGGGCAGAGGGAGCAGAGGCAGCAGAGTGGGCAGAGGGAGCAGAGGCAGCAGAGTGGGCAGAGGGAGCAGAGGCAGCAGAGTGGGCAGAGGGAGCAGAGGCAGCAGAGTGGGCAGAGGGAGCAGAGTGGGCAGAGGGAGCAGAGGCAGCGGAGTGGGCAGAGGGAGCAGAGGCAGCGGAGTGGGCAGAGGGAGCAGAGGCAGCAGAGTGGGCAGAGGGAGCAGAGGCAGCGGAGTGGGCAGAGGGAGCAGAGGCAGCAGAGTGGGCAGAGGGAGCAGAGGCAGCGGAGTGGGCAGAGGGAGCAGAGGCAGCAGAGTGGGCAGAGGGAGCAGAGGCAGCGGAGTGGGCAGAGGGAGCAGAGGCAGCAGAGTGGGCAGAGGGAGCACAGGCAGCGGAGTGGGCATAGGGAGCAGAGGCAGCAGAGTGGGCAGAGGGAGCAGAGGCAGCAGAGTGGGCAGAGGGAGCAGAGGCAGCAGAGTGGGCAGAGGGAGCAGAGGCAGCGGAGTGGGCAGAGGGAGCAGAGGCAGCAGAGTGGGCAGAGGGAGCAGAGGCAGCGGAGTGGGCAAAGGGAGCAGAGGCAGCAGAGGCAGCAGAGGCAGCAGAGGCAGCAGAGGCAGCAGAGGCAGCAGAGGCAGCAGAGGCAGCAGAGGCAGCAGAGGCAGCAGAGGCAGCAGAGGCAGCAGAGTGGGCAGAGGGAGCAGAGGCAGCGGAGTGGGCAGAGGGAGCAGAGGCAGCAGAGTGGGCAGAGGGAGCAGAGGCAGCGGAGTGGGCAGAGGGAGCAGAGGCAGCAGAGTGGGCAGAGGGAGCAGAGGCAGCAGAGTGGGCAGAGGGAGCAGAGGCAGCAGAGTGGGCAGAGGGAGCAGAGGCAGCGGAGTGGGCAGAGGGAGCAGAGGCAGCGGAGTGGGCAGAGGGAGCAGAGGCAGCAGAGTGGGCAGAGGGAGCAGAGGCAGCGGAGTGGGCAGAGGGAGCAGAGGCAGCGGAGTGGGCAGAGGGAGCAGAGGCAGCGGAGTGGGCAGAGGGAGCAGAGGCAGCAGAGTGGGCAGAGGGAGCAGAGGCAGCGGAGTGGGCAGAGGGAGCAGAGGCAGCGGAGTGGGCAGAGGGAGCAGAGGCAGCAGAGTGGGCAGAGGGAGCAGAGGCAGCGGAGTGGGCAGAGGGAGCAGAGGCAGCGGAGTGGGCAGAGGGAGCAGAGGCAGCAGAGTGGGCAGAGGGAGCAGAGGCAGCAGAGTGGGCAGAGGGAGCAGAGGCAGCGGAGTGGGCAGAGGGAGCAGAGGCAGCAGAGTGGGCAGAGGGAGCAGAGGCAGCGGAGTGGGCAGAGGGAGCAGAGGCAGCAGAGTGGGCAGAGGGAGCAGAGGCAGCGGAGTGGGCAGAGGGAGCAGAGGCAGCGGAGTGGGCAGAGGGAGCAGAGGCAGCAGAGTGGGCAGAGGGAGCAGAGGCAGCAGAGTGGGCAGAGGGAGCAGAGGCAGCGGAGTGGGCAGAGGGAGCAGAGGCAGCGGAGTGGGCAGAGGGAGCAGAGGCAGCGGAGTGGGCAGAGGGAGCAGAGGCAGCAGAGTGGGCAGAGGGAGCAGAGGCAGCGGAGTGGGCAGAGGGAGCAGAGGGAGCGGAGTGGGCAGAGGGAGCAGAGGCAGCGGAGTGGGCAGAGGGAGCAGAGGCAGCGGAGTGGGCAGAGGGAGCAGAGGCAGCAGAGTGGGCAGAGGGAGCAGAGGCAGCGGAGTGGGCAGAGGGAGCAGAGGCAGCAGAGTGGGCAGAGGGAGCAGAGGCAGCGGAGTGGGCAGAGGGAGCAGAGGCAGCAGAGTGGGCAGAGGGAGCAGAGGCAGCGGAGTGGGCAAAGGGAGCAGAGGCATCAGAGGCAGCAGAGGCAGCAGAGGCAGCAGAGGCAGCAGAGGCAGCAGAGGCAGCAGAGGCAGCAGAGTGGGCAGAGGGAGCAGAGGCAGCGGAGTGGGCAGAGGGAGCAGAGGCAGCAGAGTGGGCAGAGGGAGCAGAGGCAGCGGAGTGGGCAGAGGGAGCAGAGGCAGCAGAGTGGGCAGAGGGAGCAGAGGCAGCGGAGTGGGCAGAGGGAGCAGAGGCAGCAGAGTGGGCAGAGGGAGCAGAGGCAGCGGAGTGGGCAGAGGGAGCAGAGGCAGCAGAGTGGGCAGAGGGAGCAGAGGCAGCAGAGTGGGCAGAGGGAGCAGAGGCAGCGGAGTGGGCAGAGGGAGCAGAGGCAGCGGAGTGGGCAGAGGGAGCAGAGGCAGCAGAGGCAGCAGAGGGAGCAGAGGCAGCGGAGTGGGCAGAGGGAGCAGAGGCAGCAGAGTGGGCAGAGGGAGCAGAGGCAGCGGAGTGGGCAGAGGGAGCAGAGGCAGCAGAGTGGGCAGAGGGAGCAGAGGCAGCGGAGTGGGCAGAGGGAGCAGAGGCAGCAGAGTGGGCAGAGGGAGCAGAGGCAGCGGAGTGGGCAGAGGGAGCAGAGGCAGCAGAGTGGGCAGAGGGAGCAGAGGCAGCGGAGTGGGCAGAGGGAGCAGAGGCAGCGGAGTGGGCAGAGGGAGCAGAGGCAGCAGAGTGGGCAGAGGGAGCAGAGGCAGCGGAGTGGGCAGAGGGAGCAGAGGCAGCGGAGTGGGCAGAGGGAGCAGAGGCAGCAGAGTGGGCAGAGGGAGCAGAGGCAGCGGAGTGGGCAGAGGGAGCAGAGGCAGCGGAGTGGGCAGAGGGAGCAGAGGCAGCAGAGTGGGCAGAGGGAGCAGAGGCAGCAGAGTGGGCAGAGGGAGCAGAGGCAGCGGAGTGGGCAGAGGGAGCAGAGGCAGCAGAGTGGGCAGAGGGAGCAGAGGCAGCGGAGTGGGCAGAGGGAGCAGAGGCAGCGGAGTGGGCAGAGGGAGCAGAGGCAGCAGAGTGGGCAGAGGGAGCAGAGGCAGCGGAGTGGGCAGAGGGAGCAGAGGCAGCAGAGTGGGCAGAGGGAGCAGAGGCAGCGGAGTGGGCAGAGGGAGCAGAGGCAGCAGAGTGGGCAGAGGGAGCAGAGGCAGCGGAGTGGGCAGAGGGAGCAGAGTGGGCAGAGGGAGCAGAGGCAGCGGAGTGGGCAGAGGGAGCAGAGGCAGCGGAGTGGGCAGAGGGAGCAGAGGCAGCGGAGTGGGCAGAGGGAGCAGAGGCAGCAGAGTGGGCAGAGGGAGCAGAGGCAGCGGAGTGGGCAGAGGGAGCAGAGGCAGCAGAGTGGGCAGAGGGAGCAGAGGCAGCAGAGTGGGCAGAGGGAGCAGAGGCAGCAGAGTGGGCAGAGGGAGCAGAGGCAGCGGAGTGGGCAGAGGGAGCAGAGGCAGCAGAGTGGGCAGAGGGAGCAGAGGCAGCAGAGTGGGCAGAGGGAGCAGAGGCAGCGGAGTGGGCAGAGGGAGCAGAGGCAGCAGAGTGGGCAGAGGGAGCAGAGGCAGCGGAGTGGGCAGAGGGAGCAGAGGCAGCAGAGTGGGCAGAGGGAGCAGAGGCAGCGGAGTGGGCAGAGGGAGCAGAGGCAGCAGAGTGGGCAGAGGGAGCAGAGGCAGCGGAGTGGGCAGAGGGAGCAGAGGCAGCAGAGTGGGCAGAGGGAGCAGAGGCAGCGGAGTGGGCAGAGGGAGCAGAGGCAGCGGAGTGGGCAGAGGGAGCAGAGGCAGCAGAGTGGGCAGAGGGAGCAGAGGCAGCGGAGTGGGCAGAGGGAGCAGAGGCAGCGGAGTGGGCAGAGGGAGCAGAGGCAGCAGAGTGGGCAGAGGGAGCAGAGGCAGCGGAGTGGGCAGAGGGAGCAGAGGCAGCAGAGTGGGCAGAGGGAGCAGAGGCAGCGGAGTCGGCAGAGGGAGCAGAGGCAGCAGAGTGGGCAGAGGGAGCAGAGGCAGCGGAGTGGGCAGAGGGAGCAGAGGCAGCAGAGTGGGCAGAGGGAGCAGAGGCAGCAGAGTGGGCAGAGGGAGCAGAGGCAGCGGAGTGGGCAGAGGGAGCAGAGGCAGCGGAGTGGGCAGAGGGAGCAGAGGCAGCAGAGTGGGCAGAGGGAGCAGAGGCAGCAGATTGGGCAGAGGGAGCAGAGGCAGCGGAGTGGGCAGAGGGAGCAGAGGCAGCAGAGTGGGCAGAGGGAGCAGAGGCAGCGGAGTGGGCAGAGGGAGCAGAGGCAGCAGAGTGGGCAGAGGGAGCAGAGGCAGCAGAGTGGGCAGAGGGAGCAGAGGCAGCAGAGTGGGCAGAGGGAGCAGAGGCAGCGGAGTGGGCAGAGGGAGCAGAGGCAGCGGAGTGGGCAGAGGGAGCAGAGGCAGCAGAGTGGGCAGAGGGAGCAGAGGCAGCGGAGTGGGCAGAGGGAGCAGAGGCAGCGGAGTGGGCAGAGGGAGCAGAGGCAGCGGAGTGGGCAGAGGGAGCAGAGGGAGCGGAGTGGGCAGAGGGAGCAGAGGCAGCGGAGTGGGCAGAGGGAGCAGAGGCAGCGGAGTGGGCAGAGGGAGCAGAGGCAGCAGAGTGGGCAGAGGGAGCAGAGGCAGCGGAGTGGGCAGAGGGAGCAGAGGCAGCAGAGTGGGCAGAGGGAGCAGAGGCAGCGGAGTGGGCAGAGGGAGCAGAGGCAGCAGAGTGGGCAGAGGGAGCAGAGGCAGCGGAGTGGGCAGAGGGAGCAGAGGCAGCAGAGTGGGCAGAGGGAGCAGAGGCAGCGGAGTGGGCAGAGGGAGCAGAGGCAGCAGAGTGGGCAGAGGGAGCAGAGGCAGCGGAGTGGGCAGAGGGAGCAGAGGCAGCAGAGTGGGCAGAGGGAGCAGAGGCAGCGGAGTGGGCAGAGGGAGCAGAGGCAGCAGAGTGGGCAGAGGGAGCAGAGGCAGCGGAGTGGGCAGAGGGAGCAGAGGCAGCAGAGTGGGCAGAGGGAGCAGAGGCAGCAGAGTGGGTAGAGGGAGCAGAGTGGGCAGAGGGAGCAGAGGCAGCGGAGTGGGCAGAGGGAGCAGAGGCAGCGGAGTGGGCAGAGGGAGCAGAGGCAGCAGAGTGGGCAGAGGGAGCAGAGGCAGCGGAGTGGGCAGAGGGAGCAGAGGCAGCAGAGTGGGCAGAGGGAGCAGAGGCAGAGGAGTGGGCAGAGGGAGCAGAGGCAGCAGAGTGGGCAGAGGGAGCAGAGGCAGCGGAGTGGGCAGAGGGAGCAGAGGCAGCAGAGTGGGCAGAGGGAGCAGAGGCAGCGGAGTGGGCATAGGGAGCAGAGGCAGCAGAGTGGGCAGAGGGAGCAGAGGCAGCAGAGTGGGCAGAGGGAGCAGAGGCAGCAGAGTGGGCAGAGGGAGCAGAGGCAGCGGAGTGGGCAGAGGGAGCAGAGGCAGCAGAGTGGGCAGAGGGAGCAGAGGCAGCGGAGTGGGCAGAGGGAGCAGAGGCAGCAGAGTAGGCAGAGGGAGCAGAGGCAGCGGAGTGGGCAGAGGGAGCAGAGGCAGCAGAGTGGGCAGAGGGAGCAGAGGCAGCGGAGTGGGCAGAGGGAGCAGAGGCAGCAGAGTGGGCAGAGGGAGCAGAGGCAGCGGAGTGGGCAGAGGGAGCAGAGGCAGCAGAGTGGGCAGAGGGAGCAGAGGCAGCAGAGTGGGCAGAGGGAGCAGAGGCAGCGGAGTGGGCAGAGGGAGAAGAGGCAGCGGAGTGGGCAGAGGGAGCAGAGGCAGCAGAGGCAGCAGAGGCAGCAGAGGCAGCAGAGGCAGCAGAGGCAGCAGAGTGGGCAGAGGGAGCAGAGGCAGCGGAGTGGGCAGAGGGAGCAGAGGCAGCAGAGTGGGCAGAGGGAGCAGAGGCAGCGGAGTGGGCAGAGGGAGCAGAGGCAGCGGAGTGGGCAGAGGGAGCAGAGGCAGCAGAGTGGGCAGAGGGAGCAGAGGCAGCGGAGTGGGCAGAGGGAGCAGAGGCAGCGGAGTGGGCAGAGGGAGCAGAGGCAGCAGAGTGGGCAGAGGGAGCAGAGGCAGCAGAGTGGGCAGAGGGAGCAGAGGCAGCGGAGTGGGCAGAGGGAGCAGAGGCAGCAGAGTGGGCAGAGGGAGCAGAGGCAGCGGAGTGGGCAGAGGGAGCAGAGGCAGCGGAGTGGGCAGAGGGAGCAGAGGCAGCAGAGTGGGCAGAGGGAGCAGAGGCAGCGGAGTGGGCAGAGGGAGCAGAGGCAGCAGAGTGGGCAGAGGGAGCAGAGGCAGCGGAGTGGGCAGAGGGAGCAGAGGCAGCAGAGTGGGCAGAGGGAGCAGAGGCAGCGGAGTGGGCAGAGGGAGCAGAGGCAGCAGAGTGGGCAGAGGGAGCAGAGGCAGCGGAGTGGGCAGAGGGAGCAGAGTGGGCAGAGGGAGCAGAGGCAGCGGAGTGGGCAGAGGGAGCAGAGGCAGCGGAGTGGGCAGAGGGAGCAGAGGCAGCGGAGTGGGCAGAGGGAGCAGAGGCAGCAGAGTGGGCAGAGGGAGCAGAGGCAGCGGAGTGGGCAGAGGGAGCAGAGGCAGCAGAGTGGGCAGAGGGAGCAGAGGCAGCAGAGTGGGCAGAGGGAGCAGAGGCAGCAGAGTGGGCAGAGGGAGCAGAGGCAGCGGAGTGGGCAGAGGGAGCAGAGGCAGCAGAGTGGGCAGAGGGAGCAGAGGCAGCAGAGTGGGCAGAGGGAGCAGAGGCAGCGGAGTGGGCAGAGGGAGCAGAGGCAGCAGAGTGGGCAGAGGGAGCAGAGGCAGCGGAGTGAGCAGAGGGAGCAGAGGCAGCAGAGTGGGCAGAGGGAGCAGAGGCAGCGGAGTGGGCAGAGGGAGCAGAGGCAGCAGAGTGGGCAGAGGGAGCAGAGGCAGCGGAGTGGGCAGAGGGAGCAGAGGCAGCAGAGTGGGCAGAGGGAGCAGAGGCAGCGGAGTGGGCAGAGGGAGCAGAGGCAGCAGAGTGGGCAGAGGGAGCAGAGGCAGCGGAGTGGGCAGAGGGAGCAGAGGCAGCAGAGTGGGCAGAGGGAGCAGAGGCAGCGGAGTGGGCAGAGGGAGCAGAGGCAGCAGAGTGGGCAGAGGGAGCAGAGGCAGCGGAGTGGGCAGAGGGAGCAGAGGCAGCGGAGTGGGCAGAGGGAGCAGAGGCAGCAGAGTGGGCAGAGGGAGCAGAGGCAGCGGAGTGGGCAGAGGGAGCAGAGGCAGCAGAGTGGGCAGAGGGAGCAGAGGCAGCGGAGTGGGCAGAGGGAGCAGAGGCAGCAGAGTGGGCAGAGGGAGCAGAGGCAGCGGAGTGGGCAGAGGGAGCAGAGGCAGCAGAGTGGGCAGAGGGAGCAGAGGCAGCGGAGTGGGCAGAGGGAGCAGAGGCAGCAGAGTGGGCAGAGGGAGCAGAGGCAGCAGAGTGGGCAGAGGGAGCAGAGGCAGCAGAGTGGGCAGAGGGAGCAGAGGCAGCAGAGTGGGCAGAGGGAGCAGAGGCAGCAGAGTGGGCAGAGGGAGCAGAGGCAGCAGAGTGGGCAGAGGGAGCAGAGGCAGCAGAGTGGGCAGAGGGAGCAGAGGCAGCGGAGTGGGCAGAGGGAGCAGAGGCAGCAGAGTGGGCAGAGGGAGCAGAGGCAGCAGAGTGGGCAGAGGGAGCAGAGGCAGCAGAGTGGGCAGAGGGAGCAGAGGCAGCGGAGTGGGCAGAGGGAGCAGAGGCAGCGGAGTGGGCAGAGGGAGCAGAGGCAGCAGAGTGGGCAGAGGGAGCAGAGGCAGCGGAGTGGGCAGAGGGAGCAGAGGCAGCAGAGTGGGCAGAGGGAGCAGAGGCAGCGGAGTGGGCAGAGGGAGCAGAGGCAGCAGAGTGGGCAGAGGGAGCAGAGGCAGCGGAGTGGGCAGAGGGAGCAGAGGCAGCAGAGTGGGCAGAGGGAGCAGAGGCAGCGGAGTGGGCAGAGGGAGCAGAGGCAGCAGAGTGGGCAGAGGGAGCAGAGGCAGCGGAGTGGGCAGAGGGAGCAGAGGCAGCGGAGTGGGCAGAGGGAGCAGAGGCAGCGGAGTGGGCAGAGGGAGCAGAGGCAGCAGAGTGGGCAGAGGGAGCAGAGGCAGCAGAGTGGGCAGAGGGAGCAGAGGCAGCGGAGTGGGCAGAGGGAGCAGAGGCAGCGGAGTGGGCAGAGGGAGCAGAGGCAGCAGAGTGGGCAGAGGGAGCAGAGGCAGCGGAGTGGGCAGAGGGAGCAGAGGCAGCGGAGTGGGCAGAGGGAGCAGAGGCAGCGGAGTGGGCAGAGGGAGCAGAGGCAGCAGAGTGGGCAGAGGGAGCAGAGGCAGCAGAGTGGGCAGAGGGAGCAGAGGCAGCAGAGTGGGCAGAGGGAGCAGAGGCAGCAGAGTGGGCAGAGGGAGCAGAGGCAGCGGAGTGGGCAGAGGGAGCAGAGGCAGCGGAGTGGGCAGAGGGAGCAGAGGCAGCAGAGTGGGCAGAGGGAGCAGAGGCAGCAGAGTGGGCAGAGGGAGCAGAGGCAGCGGAGTGGGCAGAGGGAGCAGAGGCAGCGGAGTGGGCAGAGGGAGCAGAGGCAGCAGAGTGGGCAGAGGGAGCAGAGGCAGCGGAGTGGGCAGAGGGAGCAGAGGCAGCAGAGTGGGCAGAGGGAGCAGAGGCAGCGGAGTGGGCAGAGGGAGCAGAGGCAGCAGAGTGGGCAGAGGGAGCAGAGGCAGCGGAGTGGGCAGAGGGAGCAGAGGCAGCAGAGTGGGCAGAGGGAGCAGAGGCAGCGGAGTGGGCAGAGGGAGCAGAGGCAGCAGAGTGGGCAGAGGGAGCAGAGGCAGCAGAGTGGGCAGAGGGAGCAGAGGCAGCAGAGTGGGCAGAGGGAGCAGAGGCAGCGGAGTGGGCAGAGGGAGCAGAGGCAGCGGAGTGGGCAGAGGGAGCAGAGGCAGCAGAGTGGGCAGAGGGAGCAGAGGCAGCGGAGTGGGCAGAGGGAGCAGAGGCAGCGGAGTGGGCAGAGGGAGCAGAGGCAGCAGAGTGGGCAGAGGGAGCAGAGGCAGCAGAGTGGGCAGAGGGAGCAGAGGCAGCGGAGTGGGCAGAGGGAGCAGAGGCAGCGGAGTGGGCAGAGGGAGCAGAGGCAGCGGAGTGGGCAGAGGGAGCAGAGGCAGCGGAGTGGGCAGAGGGAGCAGAGGCAGCAGAGTGGGCAGAGGGAGCAGAGGCAGCGGAGTGGGCAGAGGGAGCAGAGGCAGCAGAGTGGGCAGAGGGAGCAGAGGCAGCGGAGTGGGCAGAGGGAGCAGAGGCAGCGGAGTGGGCAGAGGGAGCAGAGGCAGCGGAGTGGGCAGAGGGAGCAGAGGCAGCGGAGTGGGCAGAGGGAGCAGAGGCAGCAGAGTGGGCAGAGGGAGCAGAGGCAGCAGAGTGGGCAGAGGGAGCAGAGGCAGCAGAGCGGGCAGAGGGAGCAGAGGCAGCAGAGTGGGCAGAGGGAGCAGAGGCAGCGGAGTGGGCAGAGGGAGCAGAGGCAGCGGAGTGGGCAGAGGGAGCAGAGGCAGCAGAGTGGGCAGAGGGAGCAGAGGCAGCAGAGTGGGCAGAGGGAGCAGAGGCAGCGGAGTGGGCAGAGGGAGCAGAGGCAGCAGAGTGGGCAGAGGGAGCAGAGGCAGCAGAGTGGGCAGAGGGAGCAGAGGCAGCAGAGTGGGCAGAGGGAGCAGAGGCAGCAGAGTGGGCAGAGGGAGCAGAGGCAGCGGAGGCAGCAGGGCAGGGGGGGGGCGCACCTTGATCTGGTACAGCTCGAAGACGGAGAAGATTATGTTCCACCTCCGCCCCTGTGAGTTGCGCACCAAGGGATGGGGAGAGCCATGGGGCAGGCAGGGGCGAGTGAGGGGTGAGGGAGGGTGGGAGGGATTGCGGGAGTGAGGAGAGGGAGGGGGGAAATGGGAGAGGAGGAAGTGTGACAAGGGTGGATGGTTGCGCGCGGGGGGATCGGGTGAGCGCGGGGGGAGCGAATGCGCGCTGGGGGAGCGAGTGCGTGCGGAGGGAGCGAGTGCGCGCGGGGGGAGCGAGCGAGCGCGGGGGGATCGAGTGCGCGCGGGGGGAGCGAGTGCGCGCGGGGGGGGGGCGAGTGCGCGCGGAGGCAGCGAGTGCGCGCGGGGGAAGCGAATCCGCGCTGGGGGCGCGAGCGCGCATGGAGGGAGCGAGTGCGCGCGGAGGGAGCGAGTCGGGGGGATCGAGTGTGCGCGTGCAGCGAATGCGCGCTGGGGGAGCGAGTGCGCGCGGGGGGAGCGAGTGAGCGCTGGGGGAGCGAGTGCGCGCGGAGGGAGCGAGTGCGCGCGGGGGGAGTGAGTGCGCGGGGAGCGGGCAGACGTACACATGCGGAGGCGTAGAATGCGGTCGTTTATTGTAGTGTTATTTTTAGTTTGTGCGAACTCACGAGAGAATGGTTTAGTGGTCGTGGTGTCTGGTCTGCCGGCCCAGCAGTTCTCTGAAGTGGGGTAGACTAATAGAACCTATTATACTAATTGGTACCCTGGCACCAGTACTTGGTGTTTGCTCTGAAGTAGTGCCTCTCTTTTGTGAGTACACAATTCCCCCGAAGCGGCGGAGGGGCTCGGAATTTTCGCCAATACTCTCGCCAAGCTGTTTCACTTTCGTTGGGGCGAAATAGTTTTGGGCACTGTAGTCACTCCAACAGTACTGCCAAATGTATACTTCTGCTTTAAGTTACTCGAAACGGGTTTAGTGCATGCTGGTTCGTTACAAAAGGATATGAATTGGCAGTCTCCCAAAAAAAACAAATCCACTTACCAGGATGGTTGCCGGTCGAGCTCTTTGCCCTGCATTGGGACCTGATGGGCAAGAGGGTGGTGATATTTCTTCAGAAATTCGAGAGCTGGCTTGGCTACAAGGGATGAGAAGCTATCGTCCTATCATCATGCTCAACATCATTTATAATAGTGACGAGGGTTAGGGCCTGTGCTAGGATTTCAGGCATCCTGAGCCCTCAGGGCAACTTTTGAAATTTCTCAAGAATGCCCTGATTTTTCAGGGCAATTTCTTATGGCTTTCCTGAACTTCCAGGGCACCAACATGAGTTCATCCTGATCTCTCAGAGCAAAAAAATCACAAGACATGAGAGAGGTGGAGGGGAAGGCACGACATGACTGGGAAGCCCGGTGCATGCATGGTACGGTACGACGAGGAAGTGGCGAAATCCTCGGGAGGAGACAAAACCAGTACACACACCCCCCCGCCCCTTCCCCCTGTTGGAAACAATCAGTCTTAAGCGCCTCTGTCGTGTCGAAACACCAAGACACAAGCGAAGCAAAGCATATCGAGGCACCAGCGAGTCAACCCTCGGAGGTTGAAGTAACCGCTGGAGGTTACGCGAAAGTCAAAGGTCAGCGACCTTTGACCTGACAGAGTACAGCGCGACAGCAAGGACACACAACTGACTCGCTACAGAGCAGTTGCCCGAGTCGTCACTGTATCGAACCGCAATAGCAAACAGTAAAGTAGTTGCAACCGTATCCTTTCGTATTCCTTGTACTCTTATATAATCTTGTATCTCTTTGCCTTAATCAATCTACTTTGCCCTCACATACTAGCGCAAGGTGGTTCACAATACTTCATTAAAACGCTTCCGCTATTACATCAGTCCCACTCAGAGTTCATCCCTGCAAAGATCCTAAGGGCTTTTCTCAGCCCAACATGGTATGAGAGCAGTCAGGAAGAATTCGACTTCTATTAAAATACCGACAGCATCAACAAGCATGGCTACACAAAAGGAAAGGAGCTCCTCCAACGGCTCCCAAGGCACTACTCCTACTCCACCTCCTTCCTCTGGTCTACAGACAGAGGAGGGTACGGCAACAAGACCCAGGGCAACATCCACCGAGACTCCTGCAAATCAACCTGCAGGCCTCGATCAGAGCATGATGGAGAAGTTTTTCTCCTTCATGTCCTTCTACGAGCAACACCAACAGTCGGCACCTGCGCAGTCAAACAACAGCAACAATAACAACGGAGCAACTCCCATGAGTCTCGACGGCTCATCATACGCACGAGGAAATCAACAGCAGCCTACCTTTGCTCCGTACGAGCGCGGGTCCATCAGTTTTATGCCACACCCGCAGCCTTCACCTGGACAAGAAAAGCCACTGGACGCATTACAAGTTCAGTCGCAGTTCGCGCACGTTCTAAAGATGCAGACGACAAGACCTTTCGATGGAAAGGATTTCTTCACCTGGTCGTTCGAATTCGAGTTAATGATGGAAGGCGCGCAGATACTTGGCTTCTTCGACGGGTCCCTGCCATACCCAACGAACGGCACACAGTATGAGAAGCAGCAGTACACCTATCAGTCGATGATGGCGTACACGATTCTACTGAGAAACATCACCCCGTCCCAACAGCAGAATATACGGTCTTACCGGGGTTACGGCAACTCCGCGGAGCTCGCGTACAACCACTTGAAGAGCCTGTATCAAGCAACAGACAGCGTAAATCAAAGTCGGTTAATGGCGCAACTGACAACGGTCGAAATGAAAGCAGGCGAGAAAGGAATGGCGTATATCAGCCGATGTCGCGAGTTGCGCGACAAGCTTCTTCGATGCGGAGGGTCGATTTCTGAAGACGCCTTCGTGACAGTTATCATTGGCGGCCTCGGTCCTCAATGGCGCGCAACAAAGGCCATTCTCCGAGCCCACGGAAGAATCTCCGAAGCAGCGCTCTGCGCCGAAATCCACGCCGAGCAGCAAGACATGGACCTGCAAGAAGAACGACACAAGAAGAAGACATCAACACCGGAATTCTCATTCCATACTCAGCGACGCTACAACAACAAACAACAACAACCGAAACCCGTACCTCCGTTCTGCCACATCTGCAAGACGTCAGGGCACCCGCGTACGCACTGCCCGAATCGACAACAGTCAACGCCTTCACAGCGACAGCTTCGACCTTCAAGTAGCCAAGTCACTTCAATACAAGCGAACCCCACCGCTCAAGCTCAAACGACACCAACGGGACAACCTGCACAAGGAGCAAGGAACATCGTCAGCTGCATGGCAAAACTGTCGGATTCCTGCACCACTGAATCACCACCGCACTACTCACCAGAAGAACAACTTGACGAAAGGACTCCGCGCCGTGAGACACTGGAGCCGAACCCGACATACGCAGCTATCGCCCAGAGTGAACCATCCGGGAAAGACACATGGTTCCTGGACAGTTGCTGCGGGCAACATATGTGTTCTTCGGGACGCTTCGTTCAACGCGAACACCATCTTCAACGCGAGGTCGTCATTACCGTCGCCAACAATCAGAACCTGCGCACACGACGACAAGGCGTGGTTCAACTTCAGTCAAGAGAAACAAATGTCATACTGCAGATGTCAAAGGTCCTAATCGCGGAGGGACTCGGCTACAACTTACTGAGCGTCAGCCAGTTGATGGCTAAAGGCATCCACCTCGAAGCAGACAGCACAACACAGGAGTTCAAGTTGTACCACGGGAGAGGAGGTCTTTACATCGGCAAAGCCATACTGAAGAATAACGTGTTCGTCCTCGACTTCGTCCCAGACTTAGGCACCGCCGATAGCGATGGAATCGTCACCTTCACCTCCTGGACACACCCACCGGATCTTGACCCTGACTTCAGCCCCGAAGGGTTCTGGTATTCACATACCATTCCCGAGGCAGAACGAACACGAGCATTAGCAACGATTCAACACTCGGCAGCAGCAGAGACAACATCGGCAGCAGCAGAAACAACATCGGCAGTAGCAGAGACAACATCGGCAGCAGCAGAGACAACATCGGCAGCAGCAGGAACGTCAACGCCAGTCGCTGGTCCTTCAACGGCACCACTCCTCGTCGACGACACACCACCGACACCCGCGCAACAACTATACCCAGCACCACGTGAAGTTCATCGAAGCGCCAACTTCACCGCCAGCTTCTATTCCAACTCCGATATGTATCGGCGCTCACCCGGACATCGCGCCACCGAAGGAACCTGGCACGCAAGAATGGGACATCCAAGCAACACGGTGTTAAACAACACGATAAGAGCAGGCGTACTCGATAAAGACTCTCTACTCCTAACTGACGGCAGAGAACTTCAGCGAGCTCGAGGAACATGCTTCACCTGTCCCGAAGCTGACTTACCACATCAACCGTTCGCGTCTCACCACAACCCAAGCGCACCAGCTTACGCACCACTCGAGAAGGTGTACAGCGACATCTTGTACAACCGCGAACCTGGACAAAATGCGTACAACTACACCATCACCTTCATCGACGCCGCCACACGATACGTCTGGCATCTAAACCTTCAGAGCAAAGACATGGCCTTCGAAGCCTTCGTCGCGTGGCTCCCAGTAGCAGAGCGAGAGTCGGGCGTCAAACTGAAGAGCTTCCAGTCAGACGGGGGAGGAGAATACACCTCACAAAGGTTCAAGCAGTACTTGGCTGAAAGAGGAATCAAGCGGCTCATCTCCCTTCCCTACGCCCATCAACAGCAAGGAGTAGCAGAGAGGATGAACAGAACCCTCCAGAACACCATGCGCAAGCTGCTACGTGGCATGCACCTACCCAACCACCAATGGCCCGAAGCAATGGACCACGCCGTCACGCTGCACAACTTGCTCTCGTCATCATCGCTCCCGAACAACGCATCACCGCACCTGCTGTGGACAGGAAAGCAGGGCAGCACAAAAATGTTAAGGGTCTTCGGCTGCATGGTACAGTACCGGCCCCCATCTGCACGAGCCGGCCGATTCTCTCAACGCGCACAGTGGGGGCTACACCTGGGCATCGAAAAGCATTACAACGCATGGAAAATTTTCGACGTCGAGACAAAAGAGACAGTGGCAGCACGTGACGTTATTTTCTACGAAAACCTCACCCTCCGGTATTACCTTGCCAACTTGCAAGAAGAAAACCCCGACCGCTCCGCTGGTTTTCAAGGCACCCGAGCCTTCGCCTCGGCAGACGACGAAGCTGACTGGGACGAGCAGAACATGGAAGGAGCCTCGGAAGAAGCCGGACCCCTCCCCTACTGCTCCGTCGACGTGCCAATGGACGACGAAAACCCACGCGAAAGCATCAACGCCGACGCCTACTACCATTTCGCTGACAACGGTTACGTTACACCTGCACAAGTCAACACCGACGAAGCAGAACGCGTAGGACCTAATTTCGCACCTGATCCAGAAGCGGGAGACGAAGCAGTTTATCCCGAGGACACTTCACTCCCCCGCTACACACAGAGTGGACTCCAAATCCTTGGTCTCGTCACCGCAGTTCACGGCGCAGCCATTCCTAAAGAGCCTGCGACAGTTCAACAGGCTATGGGGGGGGAACATAAGGAAAAATGGCGCGAAGCCATGGACAAGGAGTTAAAGGCGCTGGAGGAACGCAACACCTGGAAGGTCGTCCCTATCGGCGTAGCACGTAACAAAACAGTACTCACCGGGAAATGGGTCTTCCGTGTGAAGACAAAAGCAGACGGCACCATCGACAAGTTTAAAGCGCGCTGGGTCGTACGCGGCTTCGATCAAGAGCACGGACGCGACTTCACCGAAACGTTCGCCCCAGTCAGCCGACACACTTCACTTCGAATCCTTCTCGCGATCGCCGCCATGAAAAAGAAGAAGCTGCGGCAAATCGACGTCGCGAATGCATTCCTCTACGCACCTGTTGACGCCGAAATCTTCGTCGAACTTCCACACGGCTCCAACGGAGAGCCCAATCAAGTCTGTCAGCTGCTGAAGTCGCTCTACGGCATCAAGCAAGCTCCACGGCTATGGCAACAATACCTGCACGCTCGCCTCATTCG